TGCACTCAAAATTAAAACAATTTCCTGAGTATGATCAAATACCCTCAGGAGCTCCTCGGCTACAGTTCCCTTTTGGCTTTCTGCTGCTTCACTAAAGAAGCTGATGCTGCTCATGTTTTGGGGGTTCAAGGCACTCCTCGTTTTGAGACCAATGGTATTTATGTTGTGTAGTCTTAAAAAAACACTAATTTCTGTTTTGCTTATGATGAGCCCAAATATTTTGGTCCAAACACTTTGTCTTTTGGAATATGTCTGTCTTCCCATCTAAACAGCTCAGAAACTCTCAGGGGACAATCATAGACTTCCTCCCCCACTTCCACTTCCCCTCGAGAAGGAGGGTTGAGCACATCTGCTGAATAAAGTGCCAAGATACCTCTCTCCCCTACTCCAGGCCATATTCTGTTCTAGGCAGCTTCTGACATGGCTCCCAGTAATCTCAACCTTGCCTATTTATGCGCTCAGATAATTCCTTCCCTTGGAGTATGGGATGGACCTTGTCAGTTTGCTTGTAAAGAATAACATACAGTAAAGATGATATAGTGCCACCTGTGGGATTAAGTTTCGGAGGAACTGAACTTCCATTTTACTAGTGCTCACATTATATTGTCTTCTTAGCATGTGCACTTTGATTAAGTAAGCTCTGGTAATGGTTTGAATGTTTATATGTTGGAAATTTAATCCCCAAATTCATGTGCTAACAGTATCTGGTGGAGGGGCCTTTGGGAACTAATTAGAATAAGATGAGGTCACAAGGGTGCAGCCCTCATGAAGGCATCAGAGGCTTTATAAGAAGAGGAAGAGGCACCCAAGCCAGCATGCTCGCTCTGTCGCAACATGTGATGCCCTTCACCACGTTATGTAACAAGAAGGCCCTTTCCAGATACCCAGCAAACACTGGTCCCACGCATTTTGATGTTTCAGTCTCCAGAACTGTAGGTTAAATAAACCTCAAATTTTCATGCATTATCCAGCCTTGGGTATTTTGTTTTAGCAATGGAAATCAGACTAAGACACTGCACTTACAGAAAGGCCTACTTGGCAAGGAACATGGTAGGCTCCTGCTAAGAGCCAATAAAGAACCAAGGCCCTCAATTCAATAGCTGACATGGAACTAAAACATGGCAATAACCCTGTGAGTGACGATAATGTGGATTCTCCCCAAGTTGAACCTTCACGTGAGACCACAGTGCCAGTCAACACCTTGATCGTGGCTTATGAGAAACTGAAACAGAGCAGCCAGCTAAGCTCTTCCCAGATTTTGGACACATTAAAAATAAAAAATAAAACATGTGTTGTTTTAAGCTGCCAAGTTTTAGGGTATTGTGTTAACAGCCTCATATAACCAATGAGAGCCACACGATTTCTGGGATTTCTCTTTGGAATCTGATCCACTTTAAGGTTAGAATTCTATATTAGGATAAGCAGCCAACTCATAAACCTTTCATTTGCTAGGCATTGTCCTTTATCCACTTAGTCCCCGTAGACCTTGTAAAGAGGAGTCACTGGTTGAAAACAGAACTGAATGTTCTTGCATGTCTTATCCAAATATTCTAATCTCACCCTGACGTATGGCCTAATTGGAGCAGGGAGCTGGGAGGCCAGCATTTATGAGGCAAAATTCTGTAGAGGATGGAGTGTGACTCACTCTATGGGCAAAGCATTTAGGGCTCAATATTTGTTGTTTTTGAAAATTAGAATTCATGTTTGGAGCCAGTATTGCTTCCTAGGAAGTGATGAGCAGCAGAATTCCATGTGGATCAAAGCAATGTCTCATTTCAAAACAAGAAAAGATATATCTCAGATATTTGGCTTTCAGACTTTTAGAGCCAGGTATTGCTAAGTGGTGCTAAATCAAGTTAGCTGACTTGATTCCCATTTATCTTGCTTTGCATTTCTGCCTGATTTCAACAGTACCTCAGCTTGCATGTGAGGTGAGAAAAATAAACCCATGGTGAAAATAAGATTAGAATATTTAAGCAGTGTAATCATTGGTGTGAGGAGCCTAGATGATCAGGTCTGACTGGCTCTGGTTATCCAGTTGACAAGCCTAAAATCTGGTATTGTGTCTTTGTTGAGATTAAAGAGTCTGACCACAGGGAAGCCCAGGATATTTCTAGCAATTTCCTTCCCATCTGTCTACCTCTTTGATGCTATGTTCATGCATGATTCCACTGACAGACTGTGTGGTAGACACAAAACTGGTCACTGATTTTCCCAGCCCCGTGTCTGTTCACTTTTGCAATGTCCTCCATCCAGGTAGAGTCTACTTCTCCACTCTTTGAATTTGGCATAACAGGAAAGAAGCAAACACAATACAAGTAAGACTTGAAAAGTCTGTCCACTCAACTTCTCTCCCCTGGCTGCTCTTAGAGTCACTAAAACCACTGTACAAAGGAACCCATCCCATTCTGGAACATCAGAGAGTACTTGGGAAAAACAGGCACCTCATAAGCTTCCCCTAGACCAGTGGCAGTGAACCTATGGCATGTGTGCCACCCGTCTGTACCACTGAAAGCTCTAAAAGGTTCGCCATCACTGCCAGTCAGTCAAACACAGTACAAGTGGATGAAGCCACCCCAGAGCTGACTTTCTCATTGCCTGAAGATACACAGCTGGTCCATAGAGGTAAGCTGGGGTGGCCAGACCAGAAAAAACACCACTGTGAACCAAATAAGTGGTTGATTTTAAAAATACACTGTTTTGAGGTGGTTTGTTACTCATTATTAGATAAGCGTTGTAGACTTGTATCATGAGTCTGTTTGCAGCAATTCACCTTCTTGGTAGGTTTTGAGTCCTGGAAGGTGAAAGGCTGTAACTTCACAGAAAGTGAAATTTGGGCTCTTGCCTCTGGCAGTGAGTTTGGCTATGAGTAAATGGAGACCAACATAATGTCAAGCGAGTTGCTTCTTTAATTGCTTCTCAGACTGGCTCATCTCCCACACATTGCTAGGCTCAAAGCATTTTGGAGTAGCTCAAAATCCCCATCTACAGAGAACCCAGCTTTATTGCTTGCTTTCTAAGTATGCATTCACTTTGTCCCAAGAGCATCTTCCAGTTAGAATAGAAGACAACAGCAACAGAGTGCGATTTACTTCTGAGGTTAAGTTATAAAATGACTGATTTCCAAATGGGGCACTGTCACTTGAATCATTCACCCTAGGGGAAGCCAGCTACCACATCCAAATGCAGCTTCATGGAGAGGCTTGTGTGGTGAGGGACTGGAGCTGCCAACGATTATGTGAGGAAGCTTGACAGTGAATTCCAGGACCCTCAACTGAATCTGCACAATGTCATGACAACGTCAGGCAACGGCCTGTGACTTCATGAGAGACTCTAAGCCAGCTAAGTCACATTAGATTTTTGATATGCAGACACTGAGAGATAATAAATATTAGTTGTTTTAAATTTTGGGGGTAGTTACACAGCAATAGATAATTAATGCAACTGAGGCTCAGCCAGTCAAAGCAATTCACCTGTCACCCTTCTCCACCCACAGTGTTAGGTTCAGGAATGTACATGTGACCAGGCTGAGCCAATCACAGTAAGCTGCAGGGCTTTTATGGGAGCTCCCATTCTTTCTCAGGGGACATGATTGTAGAAGGATGAGCCTGGGACTTCGGCAGCCACTTTGTCCTCATTACTGAAAGTCTTTATCTTATTGGTCTCTCTGACCCTAGCACTCAGGACTATGCCAGTATCAGAGTAGGTGCTCAATATTTATTAAACAAAAGACAGATTTGTATCTAGAAGATGGAGAAAGTAAGAGACGCTAGCATAGAACGGTAATCTCTTCACTAGTACCATCTTAAATGAAACATCATCAAACATCTATAGAAACCCATATATTTTTGTTTTCTAAATATGATGCATAGAATACACAGTTTCTCCTTTAAGTTAGCTTCCTCCAATTTTAACTGGTAGAGTTTCTAAAATTCTCCAAAAATGGGCTTACTCGGAAGGATCAATGGATTTACCATATCTGCACAATCGCTGCATATACTGGGGCTGCTCCAAGAAAGGAGATGAACAAACTCTGTACAGAGTCACACCATGCTCAGTGTGACGGGTTTGCTCTTTTCTTCTACCCACTAGCCTTAGCAGCTACAAAGGCATGTGCTACAGATTGGATTGCTACATCTTTTGAAAAGAAAATAGAAGCATGACTTCATTCAGAGAAAGTATCAGGCTGACACACAGTGATTCAGTAATATGCCACTCTGCTCCCAGAGAGTGGGACTCTTTCTCCTGCCAACAACATTTAGAAATAATCTCCTTTGTTTTCCCATCTTCTCTTGGGCCTCTCTAGACAAGTATGGCTACTGAGAAAAAGGTCTATACATTTTTTTCTTTTGCAGGTGCTAAAATAAATGAGGATAAAATAGTGAAAGGTTAAGTATATGTGTTTTACAAATGCTAACATCCTCAAAGACCACAAAAAAGGGCTCTCTCTGCACTGACACCTACCTTCTTGCTGACTTTTGTCATGGCTGGGATGAAACTTTTGTTATGTATCTTGTGCTCAATAGTAAGCATGAAGCACACTGATGGGGCAGCTGTGCAGAAATGCTGATTACAGGCACAGGAAAACATTGAGGTCATCAAGTCTGCAACTCACAAATGGCAGTAGTCTCAACCTCAAATAGCTAATGCAGTCAGGGAGGTGGACGGAAGGTGTAATTCAGTAGCGGGTAGTGGAGACAGGAGAGATGAGAACACACACTGCTTTGACAAGAGACAGTCATTTCTCAGTTCTACAGAATCATTTCCACGTGAAAATATATGCCCTGTGCTTCCAGCCTTCTGATTTTCCCCAAGAGAACGTGAAAGTCCAGAGACTCATATAAATTATTCCAATTTTAAAATGTTGACTATGATTTCATTTAAATAACATTCTGTATGAGTGAAATGAAGCTTATCTACTGGCGACGTCAGCCTATGGATCTTCAACTTGTAATGTTTGTACCAGAGCCCCTTTAAACATAGCCATGTAAACAAGAGAGTTTGCATGTATTAATTCAGTTTAATCATATCAATTCTTAAACAAAAAATTTTCCTTCAAGAGACAATAGTTCACAGTAACTGCAAAGCTTACTCACAACTTTAAAAAATACCAGTCATGCTTAGCATTCAAAAAAGATATTAGAGAATAACTGTAAAAACTTTTACCAGGAACATCAGCTTCTGACTTTAAAAATTACAAATACTGAAGCATTTTGGTGTCAGACACAGTAGTTTTGATATTGTTGGTTTATTTGATGAGTTTCTGGAAGTTTGGGAAATTTTACCTCTATAATTGAATAATGCGCTTATTCTAAACTAAACATTTTCAAATGTAGAAAACAAACTAGCAAGCTACACATACAAAGAAAAGCCCTCTAAGACAAGCTCTCCACAAGTGGAATGCCAGCATATGCACCATGAACCCTGGAAGACTAGAATTGATACATACACTTGGCCTGAGGTTTCACACCCCAGGATCAGCAATGGAGTTTCCATTCACCTACACATTAATGACAAACTCTGGGTTAGTATAAGAGAAGCCAGCAAATTCATTTTGGTCCAAGTTCATGATGAAGAGTTTATCAGTGGGAGTCAGTTCCACAGGCTGTCTGGTGAACTCTTTGTCGAAGTTGGAGGTGTCTCGCTTGTCTCTCTGCCAAATGGAAAGCAAACACATTAACACAGCATAAGAAGGAAACGACCAAGACATGCCAGTTATTGGAAGGCTAGTGACATCTCATTAGCAGAGTCAGAAAGAGCCCCATGCTGACAATTTTTAGCAGCTGCATTGCACATAGGAGCTCCGTTTCACATTGTACGTTGGTTTCAGGATCGAAAACTTGGTGAATGTTTTCTACAAAAGAATATAAATCATTGACTTTCTTTAAGGGTTGCCATAAAGTGGTGTGTGTCTTCTCTTTGACTTTGAAATTAAATAGGTAAACTACTTCTTACCATGCATGGTGTCATAGAGTTAGTTATTAGATAGAATGTCCCAGAGAAAATCTACTCATAGCGGCCCCTGTGGCTAGAAGGCCTCCTTGGGAAAGGAGAAATGTTGCAGGACTCCCAGAAGGCCGAATAGCCATGTCGAGGGATCACACCACTGGTCCAGAAGAGGCTGACCACTGCCCACCTCACACTCATGGGTGAAGTCACAGTTTTGAAGGGCTGCTCAGAAAGCTACCCACAGACTACAATCTGGGTCTTCCTTGGCCGGAGGTTCTCTTCAAAGACGCTGATAGAATGTGTCTTGTCAACACATTGTATGAAACAAAACCCAAAGCTTACAGGAAGATCTGGGAGGGGAGCCCTAAAAAACGAAGTAACTCAATTCTCCTGGTGACTCTGGCATCTCTTTCTTTGTCTTTTTAAAGTGCACATCAGGGGTGTTAACAATTCTAGGGTACTGGAATAATTTGAAGCATGTCTTATTGGAGATCATCAGAGAGTGGGCTAATGGGTCTTCCACATGATGCTCTGACATCTCCAGGTTCCCTGTCCTCCTATCACCTCTTCCCATCTTCACCTCACCTACCTGAGGGCAGGTAGAGCTGGAGTCCTCATTTCCCCATTCTTGGCATACGAGAAAACTGGAGCACAGGTAGATAAAGTGACCCTGTTCACTACTGCTGAGTGAGTTGGTGGTTTTAACCTGACCACATCACCATGGAGTCCCTCTGGCTAGATGGACAGCCTGATGGCTGTTTTATTATGGAACAAACGAGGACAATGCCTGGGATTCACTGGCAACAGGCAAGTTGCCTGGCTGGAGACAGTTATAGAAGGGAGGTCAGTAAGGACCGGCTGGCTCAGTTTGGCCAGTCTCATGGTCTAAAAAGAAACTACGCTTGCAGAATCTAGCATGGGTTAGGGTTAGGCCTTTGAAAGGACTGGTGAATAAGGATTTCTTACTGCGGGGCTCATTCTTTTTTGCAAAGCTTTTCACAAAAACTGCTTCTTTTTGGCTGCTCCCTTGACACAGGCAAAATGTCTCTATGGAGTCCCCTAGTTCCTCTTGGGGTGTGTGAGCGAAGACATGCAAATGAGGGGACAAATTTGGCATCAGAAGTACAGCTGGGTTAGCACGGCCAGAGAGGGGCAGGCTAAGGATGCTGGTGGCACCGGTTTCCGGGTGATAGGCCATCCCTACCGTGTCCCCCATCTGGCCTCGTCATGTCCCGCCCGGGGTTAGCTGTGCTGTGCTGTGGGAGGGCCCACAACCAGGTACTCCATGTGTCACGTCCTGTGTCCAGAGGAAAACTCCAGCGCCTCCTCTCACTTGAGCAACTCCTGTGCATCCCTCCACTGATGTCACCCTTACTTTAACACCCTTGTCATTGTCTGCATCACATCTATTGCTTTCAGAAAATGTTTTATTTTATGTTCTCTCTTGGAGGACAGGGTCCTTGTTTGCTTCTTTACTATATCTCCAATGCCAAGAACATCAGCTGCTACACACTGGGCTGTTCACAATTACTTGTTGAATGAATGAATAAAGATGGGACTGAGGGTGAGCTTCTCGGCTTTTGCCAGCTCATATCCACCTCTGAGCCAGAGACCTCACCCTGAAGCAGAATCATGGAATTTGTTCCATTGGTCTCAAGAGTCTCCCAAGTGGGCACCGCCATTTTGTGTCCCAGTGAGAACTGAACTGTCTGAGGGCCCAGGACGTAGGCCTCCTTCAGGCCTCTTCCACATCAGCGAGCCTACTTTGCCCTTCCCCGCCTGAGGGCATGCAGCTGAAATTCTCTTCTCACCAACCCAGCTTTGGAAAAGCCCTTCCCATTTGTGGTGCTGGTGATGACTCATGCTTTGGGAAGCCACCTGATTTGCATGGGGGTTGCCTTTACAAACTTGGTCCCGTGGGAAGATCCTTTAAGCAAATGTTTCAGAATTTTACCCTGGAATTCAGAGAGAATGGTCCATTCTGTTGGGACAATGCCTTTTGGGTTAATAGCATCGGAAGCCACATGAGAACAGCAACATGTATCTCAATAGGGTTATTAATCCCACTGGACTCCTATTAGTCCCCCAAGAGGGTCACCGTGACCATGGCCCCATTCTTTCTTAGAAGAGGAGCAGGTCAATGAGAAGTCTAAGACATTAAAAGGGAGATTCTTGGATGCCAGTAGAAAATTAGCCGTGGTTAACAAGGACTTTGTTTGGATTTCTTTGGATTTTCCTATTTACTTTAAAAAATTGTTTCCTGATTCAAATCCTTTTGGAAAATTTCAGCCTGTCTAACGTGAGCTAGAAGAACCATGCTTCGTCTAGTCAGGGGCAATGTGTTGGAGGGAAGTGCTGTCGCCAGCAGGGCCAGAAAGGGTCATGATTGCAGAAATCTGAGTGATTTTCTCTGAGAGCTGGGACACAGGACTCAGATTCAAACTGCAAAGTCAGTTCCCTCTCTCCTTGTAGAGAGGCAATACAGGTATTTGTCTCTGCTCAGAGCTTTGTGACTCTGTGGTCTGTTCAAGCATGATTTCTGGAGAGGAGCCCACCCCATCCACCACCCTACCTTTCTCCTTCCCCACCCTTCACATTAAATGATTGTCACAGAAATCCAGGTCAAGATGCTGCTGCTGGGCCTCGTCCTTCAGCCTCAACCTGTGGCCTACAGAGGGAAAGAGGAGACCTAAAGCCATTTGGAAACTTCGTTTTGTAAGAAGTTGTTCCTGCCTGACCCAGAGATGTTCTCTCCAGACCATGTCACGCTTCTAACTTCTTGTGTAATGAATGGCCTTCTACCAGATGCTATGCTGGGGGAAGCACAGGAAGGGGATGATGCATCTTGATCAGTTTTCACTGTTCTGCTGGCATTCAGCCTGGCACACACTTGGTGCTCAATAAATGCTTGCTGAATGCATGGAAGGTAGAATAAATGGATGACCGCAAAACTAATTTTTTCTTCCTTGATAAATCTGTAAAGTATTCTTCAGAGGTTATATATGATGAAAGCTCTGTTTCTTGATATCTTCTGTACTGGAAATGTTGATAGAAAGGAAATAGCAGGAAGTCTGATTAATGATTCCTCACTTCCGCAAAAGGCTTCTCTGACCAGCCCTCAGCAAAGTACGCTAGGGGAGCAGAGACTTTGGCTTGAGTTTCTATTTCTGCAAACTATGAAACTTGAAAAAAATAATGGCAAGAATTTGGAAAATTTAGAGTGCAATATATATATATTATATATGGCATCATATAATATATATATCTCCACTATATTGTATCTATCTACCTACTTATCTATCTATCCATCCTATATTGTGTTCTAAGGTTGTCTCAAACCACTGGTCAATGAGCCAGTGTTTCTCCATGATTTTTACCCTGAGAGCATGCCCATGAAAGGCCTGGCAACCCAACAGGAAGGGTGAAGGACCTCAATAACTGGCCAGGTGGTGGGCATAGCTCAGAGGTTCTAGTCATGTTGTTCCAGAGCAGGAAGAGTCCTGCACGAAGGGGCAGGACACCTGGGGTTGGATGGCAAATAACCGAGCATGGGCAAGTTTCTTCCCCTCTCCAGATGCCAGTTTCCCCAATCATCAAGTGAAGGGGTTTTGTCCAGATTCCCTTCCTCCTCTAGCCTCCTAATTGTCAGGTAAGATTTCACTATTGTTCACCTTCGGTCCAGATCGCTACCTCAATGGCAACCACGGGGATGGTCCGCAAGCCTGACGCAAGGTGAAATGAGAGGGCAGAAAAGAGCAGACTTCGAGGCACTTTGCCCAACCCGAAACCAGAGGCACTGTTGTCTAAGGGATGAGAAGTCTTTGAGCATATTTGCCAGGTTTTTAAAGTTCCCTTGATGATCTCTCAGGAGCCCTGAAGCTTCTGAGAATCTCTTGAGCTGTGATAAGAATTCTCTGCAGGGCTAACTAAGACTACCAGGAAGCGATAGCCAAGGACGAGGAGTCCCCTGTCATCCCATCTATTCAGACAGCAGTGACATTTCTCCCACCCAAGGGTTTTGCTCGGGCTTCTGGGAGCTCACAGAGTTGCTTACTAGAAAGAACAGTTAAGTTAGTCCAAGCTGGGAGGTCTAGTGATTTTGATGAGAAAATCAAGAGCCTAGCCATTCCCAGCTGGCTTCTGAACTTGACTCTGGTGAGAAATGTGTCAGAACCCCAGCCAGGCCACTCCACCTCGCTCCAGGCCACCAGAAGTCCCTGAATAGTCCACAGCCCCCTTCTCTCTGGTGGAACACTGGAGCTGAATTGGAGCTCTGGATTTAGTTCTTTTCTCCCAAGTTCCTTCCTTGGGCCCTAATTTGTAGTTTGGGTCCACATTTTTCAAAGGGAGTAGTTTTCCTTGAAATAGCATTTCTTCTTTCCTTTCTCTTTTTATTGTATCTTGATGCTAGAAGAAAAATGGCACATAACAGATATCCAGATACAAATGAACATTTCCAGAAACATCTTGCAAAACAACATCAAAGTGAAGAATACAACTATCTTTGTTCCACGAGATGCTCTCTTTCTCAGAGCACTTAGTTTTTCAAAGCCATTGACAAACCTACACAAATAATCTCCCAACAGGTATGAGTCTCCTGGGATCCACAGCTATCTTCTTGGATGAATCAAAGCAGGTCATTGTGGTTAATAACATCTGGACATATATTTTAAAGCACATGTAACAAAGTGAGGAACCTTCTTTTTTTTTTTTTTTTTTTTTTTTTGCATTTGAACAACAGAAATAAAACCCCAAAGCAAATAAAGTTTGAAATGTAATGTAAAACCATGGCCCTTGGGGACCTTCTAGAGTGACCATGTTGTTCTGGGGAATGGTACCAAATGCCCTCTTTGAGAAGTTTGGGGACAAGGGTGACCAGGAACATATAACACCAGGAATCAGTGTGTGTGTGTTGTGGGGTTAGTACCAAAGCTGGTTGTCTTCTGACCCCTGGAAGTGTTTTTAGATCATAACTGTCTAAAAACACAGCTGAAATTTTAGAAGGACTTAGATAAGCTTCTTAACTTTGAGTTAAAAAAATAAAAATACATTTTTATTTTTAGCATGTTCTTTTCAAAGCTCTGCTGCCTCCAGAACAGGCAGAGTGGAGGGATTCCCTTCAGGGCAAAGCAAGCATACACCTGGATACAAGCCAAGTTCCAAGCCTGGAAGGGGAAGAATACTGCTAGCGTCTGATTCATCTACCCATTTTGTAGGAAAGAATCTAGATTGGACGATGGGGTGAATACAGCAGTGCAGGAAATGAGGGAAAGAAAGCAGGCATTTTCTCTCCCCATTGGGTTGACTTAGCCGACATGCTGAGAACACAAAGACTTGGATAATGTCTCAATTATGCAGCAGTATTTTCTATATGTCATCTGCATAATTCCATCTCGTAGAGATGCTCCAAACTACCTGAGGACATTTGGGTTCCGAAACATGGTCACTCTAGGCTCATCAGAAAACAAAACATGGATGCAACTTGGCAATGAAAGAAAAGAAGTCACCACAACAGCTGTTGAGCTTGAATGACAGAAATGAAGGACGGAGATCTACACATCTACTTAGCTCTTGACTTCAGGTTTTAAAAATTCAGAGTTAACAAAGGAAAATCCTTCGAATTCTGACTGGTCAATATTCCTGATGACTTCCTGGTCAGGAGGTGTTAGGACTGGTGGGTGGCGGGTGAAAAATCGGTCGAAGTTCTCAGCATTTCGCCCACACTATGAGAGGGGAAGAAAAGAACTTGTGGTGGGTGGGAAAAACAAAAACAAAAGCCAAAACAAAACAGAACCAACCAAGTTGGGTGTGGTTTTCTCCAACCCCTTCCCAACTCAGAGAAGTTGTTTCAGTGATCAGAAATGAGAGCAACATAAAATGCAACATTCTCATGACCTTAGGTACAATGACCTTGCACTCCGCATGTTGAATTGCTGTAGCTCATGCGTTGCCCCTGGTTTCCTTCTGGGCAATCAGAAGATGTATGGCAAAGGCATGAGATGGTGGGGCCAGTGGTACGTGGCATGTCCCCCCACCCCTACCCTGAAGATTCAGTCAAGCTCATCTGCTGGAAAAGATGGAATGTACCTGAATGTTTTATGTGCTACAAGATGCAAAATAACCCATCATACATCACCTGGGAAGTCTCAATATTTCTAGCAGCAGTTCCCTTAACATGCTGTCCTGTGGCTCTTGATCAGGAACAACAGAAGTTTCCAACTCAACAGGATACAGCTTATAAACTCCGACCAGTGGAGGAAGATCCCAGCCACAAGACCTGGGCTTGGTGCCCGCACTGCCTGGGCAACACAAGGCCCTGCTAACTGCATCAGTCATTGACCCTTAAGTACATGGTGCCAGGAGGTAAACTCTGCTGTCCTCTTTCCAAATACCAAGAAGTGTGGAAGGAAACAAACCAGTGCTGAGTGAAGCAATCAGTCTCCAGAGAGAAAACCAATCCCCTTTTTCACCTATCCTGCTGGTCCTTCTATATGAGTAGACAGTGGTCAGAGGCAAAATTATAGCATGTGTGTGGGTAATGTATACATGAGTGCACACACTAATTCATACCTATAAGTCACTAACTCTGGGGTCCCTTGTTCTTCATCAGTAAAACCCATTTGCACAAAAGCTCTAAGTAGTTCAGTAGACGTTAAAATAGGAGGCAACTACACCCTAATAATAATATCATAGTAGTAGCAGTAGGAGTAGTAGTAGTGGTCATAATAACGACAGTTAATATTTATTGTTCATTTGCTATAGGTAGGCACTTTGCAAAGCTCTTTACTTGCATTATTGTATTTAATACTCCCAGTGACCCTAGAAAGTGGGTATTATTGTCCTCCCCACTTTATAGGTGAAGAAACTGAGACCAGGGAGATTGTGTCATTTGTAATCAGAAAGACGATGATTTCCACTTTGGACATGATGACTTGGGGAGGCCAGTGAGATTCTAGGTGAGGACCAGAGAGGGACAGAAGTTCAGCTTCTGAGGCTCAGAAGAGCGATCTCAAAAATAAATTCAAACAACAAAATAAGGAGGATAGATGATGCTAAGAGTGATAACAGCCACTGAGTACTTTTTATGCAGACATTTGCTAAGTGTTTCTGTACACGTTTCCTTTTTAATTTACGTAATGACCCTGTGAGGTAAGCATTTTATTCCCATTTGCCGAGGATAAAGTTGTTGAGCAGTAGGAGAACTAAGAGAGAGCAGCAGCAGACAAACTAAGGATTGAGAGAACCCAAGGACAAAGGCACTGTCATAACTGAATTGCGTCCAGCGGGCCAAGCAGGAAAATCGCTGAAAGTGGGCCATTGAACTTGGCAACTGGACGGACGGACGGATGAGGAGCCAGGAAGGGTGGCTCTGAACTCCTTGCTGGGACAATGGGTGCACTGAGAGAGTCAAGGAGTGCACGCTCCCCTTAGGCCTTCAAGGGGAACCAGACACACTTGGTGTGTGTGTGCAGAGGGGATGTAGTTCTCAGAAAGCCTTGGCCTCCGGGTTGCTTCTTACTTGGGTAGCAATGAGCCCAGGGGTCCCTAGCTGGCAGATGGGGATGTGAATCCTGAAATATTGCTGCTCATGCACTGTGCAATTCCAGGTAAGCTTCCTAAGGTCTCAGGTTCCTCTTTTGTAAAACAGGAGCAACTGCAATTCGTATCTTATGAAGTGAGGACAAAGATAAAATGAGATCACGCACGCGACTCACTGGGTGGGTGTCACGCATTACCCCGTAAGGACTTTCTGGTTCTTGTTTTCCACCAAGGTTCCCTGCAGACAATATATGCTTCTTACGATAGGATATTTTCATGGTGCTTAAGTTTTAAACACTGAAGAACAGCCTTGAATTTAAAAAAGCCTCTTGTTAGACTTAAACAAACATACTCGCTACTCTGAGCTAAACTGCTTTTTCCCTTCATTGTCATGTTAATAGAAAAAGAAAACAACCTCCATGTTACAGAACACATTTCATATTGGTTTTGTGGTGGGAATTTTAAAAACAAACTGGATAAAAGGATGTGGAGATCAAATTCCAAATGAAGCAAAGACATGGACACACAAAAATCTTGTAGAAAAAAAGATTAAGTGAATGTATTTATATTATGATAGTGGAAAAGATATTTCAACAGGACATAAACCAAGAAGCAATAAAGAAAAAAAGCTGATTAAGTCTGACTACATAAAATTAAAAATTTATGTACGGTTTAAAAAAAACCAAAATAAATCTAAAGGCTAAGAACAAATTAGAGGTTAAAACCATATTTGTAACACTTACAAAAGGAAAAAAGCTCTTTGTAAAGAACTCAAATGCATTAGTTAGAAAAGATAGTCCAAATGAAAAATTGAAAAGGGAGAAAACTAATTTTGAAAAGTCAAAATATATGAGAATATGCTCAAATCTCATTCATAACTAAGGAGATATATACAAGCAACGAAGAAATGACCTTTAAATACAAGCTCAGTGAAGTGAGAGAAGGTGTCCTTTGGATGTCAGTAGGAAGAGCATTGTAGGCAGGGGAACTGCAAGTGCAAAGGCCCTGAGGCAGACACTCTCTTACTGTAACCACCAAACAGCAATGAAGCCAGCATGGCACAGCAGCCCAAGGGCAAGGTGGATAGGTGAGGTCACAGAGGCGCCAGGAGCCAAAGCATGGTCCTCACTGGCCATGCAAGGACAGCGGATGTTCATCTTAGCTTGATGAGAAATCACTGAAAGTTCCAAGCTCTAAGTGACACGGTCTGACATTCTAAGAGCATCATTGGTGCTGTGTATAAAATAAACTGCATGAATGGAAGCAACCATGGAAACGATGAGCCCAATCTGAGGCTGCTGCGAGGATCCAGGTAGGAGAGGATGAGAGTATGAAGGGAGGGGACTGCAGGGAACCGAGTGACCCTGAGGCTTGCTGGTGTGGCTGGTGAGAGAAGAGAGGTACCGTAGGTGTCCCCAAGGTTTCTGGCCTGAGCTCCTTGGTAAGTGGAGGTCACCGGTGTAGAGCATATTCACGGAGAGAAACTGAACTCGTTTATGTACATCTGGGGCTCCGGCAGCCACGCCAAAGATGCTGGTGGGGACCTCGGGGCAGAAGAGGAGAAGGGGGCGAAGGAGAGGTGCAAGGAGCTAGACCGAGCCCAGGGACATGACAGAGGGGGATGTCCCAGTCCCCCAGAGGAGAGAAAGGGTGGACAGGGCTGTGAAATGGGTTTGGGGCCGAGGGGATGTAGCTGAGAGAAGATAAAGGGGTACTGGAGGGTGGCAGGATTGCTGGTGGGAGGTGGCACGCCACCCGGCAGATCTGCAGGTGTTTTTCTCTGGCCCGGATGTTAGGACCCAATCCAGCCAGTATGGTCCGTCAGCATAGTAGCTGAGACACAGAGAGTCTTCTGGGGCCATTTCTTCTTTAAAAACCATCCATTTCCTGTTCACACCAGAAAGCTGCTGATCCTCCCGGGCCCCCCAGAGGCTGGGACTGAGTGTGAAACAGCTTCTGGCAGCTCACCACCCCCACCCCACTGCCTCGGAGAACAATGAAATCTTTAAGTGAGATAGCACAGAGGATATGCAGGGACAGGGGTTAACCGAGGGGGCACCTTACAGCGGGATGTGATTTCCCTGCTAATCAGCAGCTTACAGGCTGGCAGATCTCAGCTTCCCTGTTAAGTGTTTCTGTGTTTTTCAAATGGAGCTGTCACTGCCCATTAGCTTCAGGAGCACTCCCTAAATGGAGACGTCAGCCCTTGGGAGGCACAGCCAGGTTCAGCTGGAGCCTGCTGGGTCCTTGGAGAATGGGCAGCCTGGTGGCTGGAATCTGATTATAGACATGGATGGTGTGCACCACACCAGCCTCTCTATCTTGGGTGGATGCTTCAGCCTCTTTTAGTCACTGAAAGAAAATTCCAACTCCCTGTAATGTGGGTACCCCAATAAGGCCTCTGGAACAGGGATGGGGGCTCCAAACCAACTAGGTTATTTCAACCAAACACAGTTTTTCCAGGGTTGGAAGGGGTAGTAAGAATTTTGACTTTCGGAACTGTGCTCCTGAACTCAAGGAGGAAAGAAAGTAAATCCGTGAGCTATTACATGTGAAGTCTTTTTTTGACTCCTCTTCCTTCTAATTTCTGTTCTGCTGTATAAATAGGAGTCTAGCTCTCAAATGTGGGCCTGGGGTGGGGCTCGGAGGTACAGCAGGTGCTTGGTATATAAGAGGCTGTGGGTTCAACTCAACCACCAGCTCCACACAAACAAACAAACAAACACACGCAGAGTCTGCTCAGCCACACCAGCCAGAGAGATCTTTGCAAAATGTCAGGCAGGTTACAGTAGCTGCCCCATCTTTGGAGAGCATGTTCCAAGATGCACAATGGATGTCTGAAACCACACATAGGACTGAACCCTAAACAGACTATGGTTTTTTCCTGTACACACATACAGAAGATGAAGCTTAACTTAGAAATGAGGCACAGTAAGAGACTGATAACAATAGCTAGATGACAGACTACAGCACTTACAATAGTATATACACGAAAAGTTATTTAACACTTACAGAATGTTTCTGAAATTTTCCATTTAATATTTTTGACCACAGTTGACAACAGGTGGCTGGAATCCTGGAAAGGACAGCCACGGATAAGGGGATCACTGTACGTCATTCTCCTGCTCTTAATCCAGGGACCCCCAAATCCCAAAGCCCACACTTTTTACAATGGCTTACAGGGCTCTGTGGGACTTCGGACTGGTAACCTGGTCTGTAGACCCCTCGATGCCCTTGACACATTCTGCAGCTGTACTGGAACATTTCTGGTCCTAGGACATTCATACCTCTCTCACCCACACGCCTCCGCATTTGCCATTTCTCCTGTGAGGGACACCCGGGCCCCACCTTCTCCCTTCATCCAGCTACCTCCAACCCAACCCATCTCCCCTGTTTTCAGAAAAGTGTCCCTTCTCCCAGGATGCTATTCTTTTTTTTTTTTTTGGTGCCGGGGATCAAACTCGGGACCTTGCACTTGCGAAGCAGGCGGCGGAACCACTGAGCTACATCCCTGGCCCCAGGATGCTATTCTTGATGCTTCCTTCATACTCCTGGGAGTATTTCCTCAAAATAAAGTATGTTAATCGAATAAATCATCAGAGAAAAAAATTTGGTATCAGCTACCAACAAATAGAGAGACACAGTTAAATAAATAATGATACATTTATTACCATGCAAAACACTTTGAAAAATTTAAAGATATAGAAGACTACTAAATGACATGGTTATATATAATTACTAAAAGAATATATGTTTCCATTCTATAAACTATATACACAAATGTATAAGTATTATTTATATGCCTATTTATACATGTTTACAGAGATTAGGAGAGTTAACAGATTGTTTTAATTTTCTCCTTTATCTTTTATGCCCGATTGTATTGGTGAAAATTTAAATATCAACTACTATCATTATTTTATAATAAGACTCTACAAAAGCTATTTTATAAGTGAGAGCTATTACCATGGAAGAAAGGGGAAAATAAAGAGAACAGGAACGTTTAGCCAGATTGTCAGGGGCAGCCTGGTGCTGTTTAACATGCCTTTGTTTAGTCAAAGACTCAGAGGCAAAGTCTCCCAACCCGCTCCCTAGTGAGTGTTTCATTGCTAAAGGATGATGAAGAAGGCTGTTTGGGTCGTGTACATCCTTTGCCTGGACACTGAAGATCAAAGAATCCTGTCCTCACGGAGCCTCTGGCCCAGCAGAAGGGGCAGTTACCCACGGGCCACTCACTGCACGGCACCAAGGGACAGCTGCTGCCACTGGACTTGCGGTGAGGAGCCCAAGAAGAGCCCCAAGACCACTTGAAGGAGGTGACATCCAAGCTGAGTGGGAGCTGAGGGAAAGACACTGCTTCTTTGCGGGCGGATGGAAAGAGTCTGGGAAGAAAGGGAAGTGAAAAGATGACAGGTAGAAGCCCAGCGTGGCAGTGCTCCCCTGCAATCACAGCATTCTGGCTCGGAAGAAAACTAAAAAATGGTTGGGATGTAGCTCAGTGAGAAGGCTCTGAGTTCAACTCCCGGTACCAAAAAAAAAAAAATGGCAGATGGGCAAGATGCTGGAGAAGAAGATGAGCGCCTATGTCATGTTGTTTGTTGCTTAACGAGTCTGACAACAAGAAGCCAATGGCCCAGAGGAGCTGCCAGTTCCGGCCTCATGATGTGAGGGCACCTTGAGGCACCAAGACTAGAAGGTCACAGAGAAGTCATCCCAGCCAGACAAAACTCAAAGAAGCACTTTTAAAATGTGCATATCCAGTGAAGCGGAAGGTCCTTTCTCCACCCTGCAGTTCTCCACAGCAGAGGACGAGGAGGTGAGGGATCTGCCGGTGAGAACCAGCTAGCGGAGCACAGAGCGGCACACACATCTGATCATTTTCAAAAGCCATTTGTGGACGACAGCTTTTCTCTCCAGCAAAGAGGCCCAAAATATTCAGCATGGTCTGGCCTTTGGCAGAAAAAAGAAAGATGAAAACCTCCTTTTTCCTGATAACAATGAAGGCCCCTACAATAAGAATATTTATCTTTTCTGTCTATTTAGGAGGAACTTGGCAGCCAGGAGTATTTTTATGTTTGATAGTAAGTTTGTTTTGGCTTTGTTTTTTCTTAATTTTTATTGAAAAATAACATGCAATGTTTTATTTCCTTTCAGGTCTCGGCGTAAATGCCGCCTCCTCAGAGAAGCTGCTCTGGGTCAACTCCAAGTAAAGCCAATCCACCTTCTCCTTTCCTCCTGTTCTCCACAAGGGCATCCTTGTTCATTTCTTTCATAGAAAGAACATACCTGTTCCTTTCTTTGCTGATCTGCTTATTGGCTCCATTCCCATCTAGACTGTAAACTCCACGAGAGCAAAGTTTGTTCACCACTGCATTTCCAAGACCCAGTATGGGCACTCCTTATTACTGAATGGACAGATAATCGTATCTTAAGTGCTTACTGGGAGCCAGGTACTGTGCTAAGTGATTTGGAAGCACTATCTCCTTGAGTCCTTCATCAGCTCTATAAAACCTGTGGACAACGAGGCAGTGGGTTTAGAGGGGTTAAGCATCTGACTGGTTTGGTCGCAGATGTGATCTAGCTTCTTCTACTGGTCTTCTCCATGTACTGCAGAACAAACAAGCTGTTACAAAGCAACAAGAAGAAACAAAGCTCTGTGTAACTCTACCAGCCTAATTAGGTGAGCATTTGGTTTGTGTTCTGGGTGGCTGGATGAAAGATGGATGGATGCTTTCTACTTTTTAAACAGGCATGGAATCATTACTTTATTCTCTAACCAGCTTTTTAAAAGAAGCTACATGAAATATACTGTGAACATTTTCTCTGTTGACAATATTACCATCTTTTTCTTATCTATTTTCAACATGCACCCTAAACTAATATTGGTGGTGTTAAACTCACCCTCAAATACTAATTATCCTTTTTGCTTGCCTATGTTTTTAAAGATTTGATTCTCACAATTCTGTGAGATAGGTGGGAAAAATAATCTCCACTTAACAGATAATTTGAAAAGGGAATTTGTCCCAGGTCATATGAGGAGAGCCAAGATCCAGAGATTGGTTGGCTCCATTCCAAAGACCCCAGGCTTCCAGTACACTTGCTGCTCTACTCCAGAACACATGATCCTGTGGCGAGGACTCACAAATCAGGATGCCCTGGGCACCAAGCCGGGCCCTAGCGATGGCCTTAAAGGCTGTATGACCTTTAACCAAATGAGCTAATTTCCTCAGACTCCAGTTTCCTGTTCGTGTCAGAGGAAGCCACCTTGCAGGGTGCAGTGATGGAAGAATGCTCCCGATTCTGTGTCGAGGAATTTGTTATTAACAGTATTATTACTGTTAGGAATGTTAAGATTTTCTGTTAGGTACACACTACATAGCAAAGCCACTCCCCATTACTGCTTTGTACCCAGCTTATGTGGAAGCTTTGTGTTTAAAAGTAATTAAAACTTAGATGAATGTAGTGGTTGCATATTCTCTTATTAAAAAGAACATAAATTGTGTTTTGCTTTGAAGTCAGGTATTAAACTGGAATAGTTATTACACCTCCGGAAATGGGGCAGATAGGCCCTGCCCTTGACATTCCTTTGCTGTTTAATTCTTCAGAATCTTAATAATTGCTTTCTTTTAATCCTGAGAGGTGAAACAGCAGACATGTTAGAAAAAAGAAAGCAAACGAATCAAAACAATTTTTTTTTGTACTGGGGATCGAACTCAGGTCCTTTCACTTACGACTTGTGAGGCAGGCGGCAGAACCACTGAGCTAAATCCCCGGCCCTAATCAAAATTTTTAAATAAAGTTTTTTTTAAAAAAAGGTGCACACCAAGGCCAGGGATTCAGCTCAGTGGCACCGTGCCTGCCTCGCAAGCAGAAGGTCCTGAGTTCCATCCCTGGTACCAAAAAGAAGTGCGCATCCAATACTGAGCACGGTAGTGAGTGATTGCCCTGAGTGCTGCCCGGGTGCTATCCAGGGTATGAGCCTGTTGGACTTGGCTGCACCCCAGCTGGGGAAGGTCTTCGGGCTCTGCCACCCCCACCTGCCCAGTGCACTCCCATCCCAGTTACAAGCATAAGGCAGATCTGCCTCACTTAACACAGGAGACAAAAATCTGCCTGCCAAGCTGGCGAGACATGGCAGGGCGGTGGGCTGGGGAGCCAGGCCTGGCGCTCCCCACTGGAGCTCAGGGGGAAGGTGTGCGTCTGGGGACAGAGGGACCCACCTGTAGTCCCACTAAGCCTCCAGCCCCCGGGAAGCCTTTAAAACAGATGCACAAACCACCTCTCGGTTATGTTTGTCGTAGTTTATGGGGGGGGGCAGTGTAGAGACCACATTCATAAATAAACTAGAAATGAGCTTTTTTATTTCCCTTCTGGCTCACAGGCAGGTCTCAACTCTCCAAATTCCACTCTGACCCGGAGTCACCAGGAGCCAGAATGTCTCCCAGCAGTGGCTGGGGAGGTAGGAGGGAAATCGGCAAGCCAAGCACTGGGCTAGAAATGAGTGAGAAGAAGGGCTTCAAAAGGAGGCAGGGACTCGGAGTCTAGCTGTGAGGCACGCAGCTGTCCCCTGGGCACCGTGGGGGACTGGCTCGCAGGATCTTTCCTCTCCTCAGCTACCAAGACCTGTGGCTGTCCAGGCGTGATATGTGAAGCGGTACAGTGTTTGCTTTGAACCTGCACCTCCCGCCCGTGCACTTTATCGTATCATACAATGAAACACTGGAGTAGGCAGTTGTTACACCACATTATCTAAGAAACAATGTAAAAAAGAATCCTCTATGTGTCCGCTACAGAGGCGATGCTCTTTATTTGTTTCCTGATCTATTTATTTGTATTTTTGATCTATGACGTGGAACCCAGGGATCAGGAAGGCTGACTCACTCACAGGTATAAGCAGCTATCAAAAGAATGAAGTAGAGCGAGAAGTGAGCTTAAGCATCCTCTCCAAGGCAGGAAGGAGTAAAGCAAAGCACGGAAATGGTATGCAGCCTGCTAATATCTCCTTGTGCGATGTGCAGTGTTTTTGAGACTGCATCCATCCCCTCTACAGTGTCACACAGGGGCTCGGCAGACCTGGTGACTCCGGGAAGGAGGACCAAGCCCAGCTGGGGGTCAGGGAAAAGGAAGACTTCATTTCACTGCACAACTTTTGATGCTGCATGAATATTTTCTTTTTCAGATTTTTTTTTTTTAAAGAAGGGAAGATCAAAGTATGAAATAATGTGGTAAGGTCAAGAAAGATAACACAAGCCGAGAAGAGGAGGCGATTTTCAGGATGTTGATGACTCAGAAAGAAATGATAATGGAATGGTGGGAGAAGATGCCAGGTTGCACCAGAATTGAGGGAAGAATTAATTGTCCTCAGGTAGAAAAAGCAACTGGCAACTCTTTCAAAAGTTTGTTTGTATGCAAAGTACGACAGGGCAGAAGGCTTAGCAATAGGAATAAGGAATCCCAGGCTTGAAGGATTGGATCTTCAAGATGGAAAAGAGCCAAGCATGGTGGTACGTGCCTGTAATCCCAGCACTCGGGGAAGCTGAGGCAGGAAGACTGCAAGTTGGAGCCCCGCCTGGGTAATTTAGTGACTTAGCAGATCTTGTCTCAGAACAACAACAAAAAATAAAATGAAACATGGAGAAAATGTAGTGTGTTTCTGTGCTAAGGAGCCAGGGAGGAAGGAGTGAATGAATGGCTGCTGCTTTTGTCACCCAGCAGGCATCCTCCTCCTCTGGTCATTCGAGGACTCAACTCTTCTCCTCTCCCAAGATGCCTGGTTTAGACAGGAAAAGAACAAATTCTTTGGCTAAGGCGGGCAGGTGACCCTGGCCCAGCCAATCAGCAGCCCGAGTCACATGGAATTAAAGGTAAACACATGACCCAGGATATTCTAGTAAGAGCCAGCCCCGAGCTGCTGGGAATTTTAGGGAAAACATTGTCTTTTGGTAGAGATTACTGAGGCAACGGGGCCTGACTGGTTAGTGCTGTGTGCCCGAGAAAGCCCTCTGAGAACGCAGGGCGGAGTCGGCACCCAGCAAAGCAGAGAGGCATTCTGCGGAGATCACTCCGCCACACACATCTGCACACTCACTTTTTGTTGGTTGTTTTAAGTCAGTCTGAGTCCAATTTCTGTTTGCAACACAGGGCTTTGGTTAACACCGAGAGAAGCCGCAGACCCAAACTAGACCAGGCAGAGGGGCGTGGGAAGAGGGAGGGAGGAGCCCCAGAGCAGGGATGGAGGTTCACCTTTACTTCGGGGGTGGGCCACACAAGGCCAAGAGCAGGGCAAGAAGTTGAAACCCACCTACCCACGGCCCCCACAGCCTCAGTTTCCCAGTGACGTTAGGAGATGGGGCTACCAACTGGGACCACGGGCGCTGGAACTTCAGGGAGAAGGAATTGAGAAAAGATGTTCGGAGATGGCACCCGAGACTTCGGACAGACTGACGGGGAAGGCAAAGGGCACAGCTGAGATGGGAACCTACAAACGTGGAGGCTCAGCGGGGTCCTTACTGCCCACCGCTACTCAGCTAAGCAGCCGAGCTCGTGTGGAACCCTGGGTCTATCTGACTCTCCGTCCACATTCTTCCTGCTTGACTCAGATTTCCGGGGTGCATCTGCTCATCTTCTCAAGTTCTCCCACCCTTCTGCCAACAGCTTTCTGGAGTCCTGTGATCGTGACAACCTGGCAGGGTTGACAGCAGAAGGTGAACTTCATGGCTACCCACCCAGAAGAGTCTGTCCCCCAGGAAAATATTTAAACTCAAGATTGGAGGGAGAGCAGTTTAAATTCCATAGCCGAGTGTTAGCACTTTCGGTAGATGAGAGAATAAATACTACAGTGCCTAAGAGTATGGGCTTTGGGGTGAAGAAAAAGACTTTATATTGACATTAGGACTTAGCAGCTGTGTGGCCACGGGCAAATTACTTGGGCTCCCTTAGCCTGTTCCTCTACTGTCACGGGTGGTAATAACAGCACCCATCTCACGGTATTCTTTGAGGATGAAATGAAAGCACAAATAGAGTTCTACTCTTTAGTAGAGGTAAATAATTTAACAGAGCATGCATGACTTGCTTTAATGTTAGGGTTGTAAATAGTGTTATTAGTAAAGTCTTCTTCATTAAATGGAAGGCCAGTTTTCTTACCCTAATTATGTTATATTCCCTGGGTAGGTCACTTAGCAAATCTCTTGGCCCTGTTTTCTCATCTGTAGGAAGAAGAAGTTGAATTCCACTTCTAAGGTAATCTTTCAACTTTTGATTTCTATGATATTATACTCCAGTGGTTACTGCCAGACATATCCTATCAGTTCCAAACTCCCTCTTGGCATGTGACCTTCTCTTCTTCCATTTCAGTTCACACTGTTGGCTTCTCTTCCAGGGGACAGCTCAAAGTCATGCATCTGGCAGATGATTTAGGAATTTCACTTGGCCCAGGGGCCTGCCAATTCCAACCATCCAACGGGAGCCTGGTTTGATCTGCAGTTTAAGTAGGTCCTTCTTGGCAGAGATGTGGAGAGAGGGAAACAAGAACAGACAGGCAGCTTCCAGCCTGCAGGGCCTACATGATTGTAGGCTATTTGTTATGAATGTAGAGTAATTTTTTTTAATTAAGATTTCTGCTGGGGGAACATCTCCTCCTCGCCGAGCCCCTGACCTGCTCCTCCTCTCAGATGCCACCCTGCCAAGGGCTGGCCAAAGTCTGCTGTCTTTGTCAGCCTCAAAATCAAAGCCTTAAGGAACAAGAGAGATCTGCATCTTTCCAAATCCTGCCAGTGAACTGTAAAAGGTGTGAATATGCTACGTGTTTGTTGCAACATTTTAAAATAAATTTTAAGACATTTGAATTGGAAGAATCCTCAGTCGTTTTCTCTTATGTAACAAACACCATTAGGTGGTGTAATCACGGTTCTCTCTTGTGAGTGCCACCACACAACTTCTCGGGGGCTCTGAGTTTTTCTGCTAGTCTTTCCAAGGATAGTAGGCCCTGTTGAGTTCAGGGTTCAAGTCCCGCTCTGCCACCTGCTAGATCTTGAGCAAATGCTCAAGGTCAAGACCTTCCCAAGCTCCGTTCCCTCATCTGTAATATGGTAACAGGGACATAGAACAAGTTTTAGAAGAACTATTTTAAATTACCATTTTCAAACAGGTACTGTTCTCTTGAGTATTTGGTACTCTGGGGGAGTTAGGTTCAACACCTAAATAAATCATACTGAGTAAAACTTAGATCCCTTTCGAAAGCCTTGAATTTGGAGTTTTAGTAGCAAACATACAAAGGTTACACTTCCTGGCTTCAATTCAGAAATGTCAGCTCATCAAACACACACCTTCAGACGCGCACACAGAAACACTCACTTGTGCTGGGTAAAGGGCAATGGGTTTGGAAGAGAATGCCATGCGAACAGAGACGGGGCTCATTAAAGCAGCACTTGAAGCTTCTGACCTCCGCTACATAAACAATACTTTCGGATGACAGAATTACTGAGAAACCAGGGCCTGCGCGTGTAAGCACTTCCACCCTCCCAGGAGATGGGCAACATGCTAGAGCAGCTAACCTGTGTATCGTTTTGGAAATGATGCTACAGTTGAACAAGGTGAGGGACCTTATATTTTTGGCATGCAAGATTTCCAGGCTTTCCTGATGTGCAGATGCCTCAAAATGACGAGGGTTTATGTAAAGTGAAGGTAAAAATAGGTAACAAGAACAGAAATCACTGGAATCAGTCTGTCACAGGTGTGAGGCCTGATACAGGAGGCAGGGAGGTAGGGAGGGAGCAAGCTGCTCAGGTCTCTGTGGGGAGGCAGGGAGAGGAGGCTCCATTTTTGAGAGAACTGACAATCAGATCGGTCGGACTGATGACCGGAGTGGTCATATTTCCAGAGACCGACAGAGCCACATTTACCAGGGGGCAGATCACTATATACGCAGCACAGCTCTTAGGGCTCCGGGGATTACAGCGAACCAGGATGTCCTTGGGGCCCACCTACTTTCTTCTCCCTCTTCCAGTAGCTCCTGCATTGCTAGCTGGGTAAGCTGACCCCAGGGCTGCATTGTCAGGGAAGCCAGACAAGGGCCCCCAGGCACTTCCACAGCAAGGCCATTAGGACACCATAACATTAGAACATTATTGGGAGCCTCTCAGAGGGAGGGTGACAGCATTTCATTAAGGCAATTCATGATAATATGAATGCCGTCAAAGTCTCGATCAGGCCCTCCAATTTCAACATACTACATTAGCACTTCCTGTACTGACATTGTAGCACCATGTACTACAGTCTGTGCCATAAAACATGCAAAATGCAAACACGCAAAATGGCACAGCCTTAATGCACGCTCTGTCCACTACAGCACTACAGAGTCCAGAGCTGGACCTCCCAGCCAGGAGGAAACTCCCTGGTCATAGCCCGCAGCACCAGGAGCCTCCTTGGCTGCTGTCGTCTTCACACTGAGAAGAGGAAGTGCGACCCACCGCACATGTGCCTTCTGCTCTGTGGCCTACAAAGCAGCTCTCCAGACCTCAGAAGCTTCTTGCCAGCCCATTTTATCCATTCACCTGCCTCTTGCCAGGACCAACTCTGGGCCCTCTGGCTTCTCACTTGAGAAATTATGAGGTCTAAAGGGATTAGAGTTCACCTATGTCTCCACGCTTCAAGGAACAAACCCTAAGGGCCTGTGAGGCTCCCGGAGCTGGGAGGAGTTGGGAAAGCCAAAATGAACACAGCCTGTGCTCTCACATTGTTCCAACCTGTCCCAGTTCCCACCATCGAGGGCCTATCTCATGGCAAGGAGCATGTGTTGGTCCTAACTGGCCTTCCTGGCTTCCCCTGACCTCTTCAGCACTCACGGTGATCTTAAAAAGATCGAGCTGCCATCTGCCCACTTAAGGGTTGGGGTAAAAGCTAAAGACCCTACAATGCTCCGCGGGATCTATCCTTCGCAGGCCCTCTCTGGTCTCCGGCCCTTTAACCCTCTCCCTTAACCACCTAACCCAGCCACCTGGAATTCTGCTCTGCCTTGAACCTGCCAGGCAAGCTCCTGCCTCAGGGCCTTCGCATCTGTTGCTGCCCCCGGGAACCATCTCCACCCTGCCCCGGCCCCCATGGCTCTTTACCTCCCTCTCCTTCTTCCTGTGTTTGCTAAGACGTCACTTCCTCAGCAAAGCTTTCCACCCACTTTATTCAGAACTGCGCTTGGCCCATCGTGACTCTCCCAAACTCTCTCCCTGCTCTTGTCTCTTCCATAATGCTTATCGACTTCTAACACGTTGCAAAGTTCACTTGCTTCTGTGTTTATTGTTTCCCTTGCAGCCTAGAAGATAAGCTCCGTAAGGGCAGGGATTTTTTTTTTTTAACCTCATCATCTGCTTCAAGGATGACTCAGCACCTGACGTGATGTCCCCGCTGGAAGACAAAAGCAGCGCGTGCCTCTTGGCCACCGTTAGCTGCACCATGCACTGGAGGTGGTAACACACAAGCCACCGCCTGCCTCCCTCTACACCTCAACCCACAGGGGTGTGCCACGTGCCCTACGTAACTCTTCACCAGAACATTCTGTACCTTGCTTTTTATTCCCATTCACTACAGCCCTGGGCTGCACTAGATCTGCACACTGCACGCAGACACCTGCAGCAACAGGATCTGCCATTCAGCTCGGAGCTGGCTACACCCTACAGCGCCTGCCCTGCTCACACAAAGTACAGCAAGTGCTCCGGCAGCCTCCTACCACCGGGAGAGCTTGTGAGAAGGGCAACACCTCAGGCTCACCCCAGACCAGATGAATCGAAATCTGCATTTTAACCTACTGACCACTGTGTGCAGGTTCGAGTTGAAGAAGTCCTGCTAGGCTGCATCCTGGCAGCTGTAGTGCCGGACTGGCCTTCGCAAGGACACGCCAGGAATCTGCAGCCTTCTCCACCCGAATCCAGCACTCCACGCACTGCCTCCTCCAGTCCCTCACCACATGCTGTCCAGGACCACACCACAAAAGCACAGGGTGCTGTGACAGTTTGCAAAGTCAGCAACCAAATGATAGCCCTATATAAACAGGGTAGTAACTCACACAACAACCAATTTATTTCAGACATCCTGCTGTACACAGGAAAACGCCCTGCGTGCTAATATATATCCATGTATTACAACATCTGCTTTATGGTTATACATTTATCCATTCATTTGATAAACATTCTTGAGTACCTATGATGTGCTAAGCCTCACACAGAGCACTGAGATTTGGCCCTGAGGAAGGTACGACCCTGTAGTCCAGTCGACAAGACAGGTGTTGCATGGAAGGTGCAATGGAAACAGCATGGGATGCGCTCCTGCTTAGGAGTCAGGAGGATCCTCCTGAGCTGATGTTCTACCTATGTGATGAGGGGAGCAGCCAGTCCCCAGAATGGAAGACAGGGCATGGGAAAGGGCTCTGGGCGTCCCGGGGAGAGGGCTCCCCACAGGCAGAGCCACCCCCGGGACAGCAGGCTGCAGTGCAAACAACCAAGGAAGCCTAGGAACACAGGCTCTTAGGAGGACAGAGGCCTGGGCTGGGAAGACTCAAAAAGCACTTATGCTAAGGAGCAATGGATGTCACCCTGGGACAGCAGAAAGCTGTGGGGGGACTTGTAGTAAAAGACTGCCACAAGCCGATGCGCATGAAAGGAAAAGTACTTTGTACCCTACAACAATGCACCGTAACTAATGTCTTTCAATACAGTTTCAAACACTGTTCTGCAAACAGTTCCTTGCCACAATGAGAGATGGCACTGGAACAACTTTAAAAAAAAAACATTTAAAGTGATTTTAATGAACCTCCAATAATAGCACCCTTCACTGAGATTGCAATGTAATCCTGTTATTGCCCCGTGTTTCTCTTGACTTAATAGCATGCATGAATCAGGTGCAGTGACAGATGCATGTGTGCCTCTTACTGTCCCACAAGGCACACAGAACTCTGCACACACTCACCCCGGGCCTTCCAGAAGTGGCGGATAAGAAGGGGTGGAGAAGGGGAAAGGTAAAACCCTGGGGTGGGAGTGAGGGCTCTAAGGCCCAGGTCTACAATGTAAAACATATGAGCAGGTTGAGCCCAGTGGGTATGTGGTGTATCCACAACTGTCACAGTCAACCCTCTGTATTCCCAGGTTCCACATTCTCAGATTCCCCCAACTGTAGATCAAAATGATTTTTAAAAAATTGTGTCTACCCTGAACTTGAACAGAATTTTTTCTTGTCATTATTCCCTAAGCGATACAGTATAGCAACTATTTACATAGCATTTACATTTATCAGGCATTGTAAGTACTCGAGAGATGGTTTCGAGTGCTCGGGAAGATGTGTGTAGGTTATATGCAGATACTCTGCATTTCATTCTAGGGACCTGAGCATCTGTGGATTCCGGATCTTCGAGAGACCCTGAAACCAACCCCTGAAGATAACCCAGGGAGAACTATCTTCCTAATTCAGGCAAAGGACACCCAGAGCAGGGTCCGCTTCCTGTTAGAGCTGGGGGCAGAACATCTCTCAGTACATAGCCCAATCCAGCTGCAGTATTTTGAAACTCATTGTGAAGCCCACAGAGGGAAATCAGGACACTGGTCACTTGGAAGTAATATCAAACAGTCGATACTTACTGAAATCAGGTTTATTTTATCAGCAATAGCTAGAACTACCTTTTCCTGAGCACCTTCTATGAGCTGGACCTTTTAGAGTCATTATCCCTTTGCAGGCACATTTACAATAGTTGCCCAGTCAGAATGGACTTCGGCTGTCAATAACTAGCACTAATGGGCACTGGCTAAATGTCATCCTGGCCAGAATCATCAGCAATCCAGAGATGACAAACAGTCCACAGGCCACACATAGGTTTAATTTTGAAACATTTTGTGCCAACACAGCAAGAAATAGGGAGAATTTCTCTAAAAATCTGATTTCCAGTTTCTCATTAAACTATGCAATGGAGTCAGGCTCAGTGGGCACCAGACACCTGCAGAGCCTTTAGCTAGCTCAGGGTTCCCCAGCTTCCTTGTCTCCCCCACTCCCTCTTCTAACTCACAGGGTCTTGTCCTTCCTTCCCAGCACTCTCCTGGCCCTCCAGGCCTCTGGGTCTGTGGCCTAGCCCAGAAGCCACCAAAGGCTGGCTCTCATTCCCAGACCGGAAAGAGGCCTTGCTCAACATAGAACATTAGGCTCCACCCTGGAATTTCTGGTTCAGGAGGTCTACAATGGAGTCCTAGAAATGCATTCCTCCTGTGACATCCAACATCAAGTTAACAGCGCTGGCCCAAGGAACACACTTTGAAAACCGCTGATCTGCAAGTTCAGAATGAGTCCCAGAGGTTCAGGGCAGGTGGGATTGGGAGCATTTGTATCTTTTCACTGGCCAAGTAAGGAAAGGAGAAGATCCACATTTTGACAACTCATAAATACCGACGCAAAAAACCAAATGGGTTCCACCTCCGAGATGCTGGTGTCCTGAACAAAACGTCACCTTCTCTTCCAGGTCACCTTTTGATCTTTCTTCAGAATGGTTCAGTAAAAGTGTAAGTGGTGATACTGCCCAGGATAAGCAAGATGCTCCCCAAGTCCAAATCTGCACACAGACATTATCTTAAGACAGCGTGGCCAGTATGCCATACAGATGCACCCCTGAAAGACCCTGTGCCCGAGACAGTCACTACTGCAAAACACCACTAACGACACAATCAGCTGTCCTACTATCTCCCAGGCACATCCCCAATGCTTTGGGCATTGCAAGGAGCCTCTGACATAGAAACTATTATCATTGCCGTAGCATAAATGATGAAGCAACGGCTCGGAGAGGAGAACTGACTGGTCCAACGCACCAGCTCTGGAATACCAGGCAGGCTGACTCACTTTATTTACTGAAATAAAGTGAGGAATGTTGTGCCCATCCCTTCACAACATTTGAAGATGAAAGTTGAAGACCTGCAGAATTGCAGGCCCCTAGAAGTCCCATCAGAAGAGATGCGCTCCTAGGAGGAGAGGGCCAGGACCCAGCCGGGGCAGCACAGAGTGAGAGAAGATGAGTCAGCATCGGCACAAATCTAAAGCTTGGGGCTGGGCGGCACTTCTGGGAGGCTGATTAGGAATTAACATATTCATCCGCAGCAAGTAGAAGGGCCACACAATGGGACTGGCTGCTCTAACACACCTGGCTTCTCAACACCTGGAGGATCCAGGACTCAGGCAGGGTGCTGCAGAGCTGTGATTTCCCCACCCCAAATGAGGGAAAGGGCAGCACTGGGGAGATGCGAGACCCCACTGTGACACTCTTCAGCTGTGTGCCCTTGGCCCTGGGCCTGTGGTAAGCCTCCAGGGGAGTGGGGCAGACTCCAGAGTCTGGATCCTCCCTTCATCACACCCTGGATTTCATCACACCTTCCCAGCCTCTGTCTCCTCTTCCATCACATGGGGTAGTGGCACCTGCTTTGTTAGGCTCATGTGAGGATTTAATTAGATGTTGCACATGAGGTGCTAAACATGGTGCCTAGCACATAATAAGTGCTCATGAAATTAACAATTACAGTATCAAAGTAACTAGCATGATCGCCTTCCTCTCCTCAACACCAAGACCTTACGACTTTAGGTTTCAGTGACAATGTTTATGTTCACTTTTCAGCCTCAGTAGGTGGTTGTACAACCCATAATAAAGTCACCGGTCTGTGCTCTACTTAATTTAACAAAGAAATATCCTCCCAGACAGAATCACCGCTCTGATGAATTCAGGTGCAAACTCCTCCTCCCGACATTGACAAGTCCTCCCTGCTGGGTCTCTGGAGATGGAAAACCCTCCCGTGGGTGCAAGACTATGAGGGAAAGGGAAGCTTTTATTCTTGAATTATACAAATTATCACAAAGCCATGGCTACACCCCAAGCTTCCAGTAGGGCTGTAGTTCAGGACCATGCCAGTTTCTGTTTTATTTTCTTTCTCCTTGGGTAGAAGCTGCTGGTTGAATTGCTCTTATTCACTGACTCAGACACAGTAGTGTTATGTTTCAGAATTAAATTTAAATACTGTTGGGATAAACAACATGACCTTTTCAATGTCAGTATGAAGAGAAAATGACACAGTTGAACCAAGAAAAGGAAGGCAGAATTAGATTTTTTATCACAGCCCCCAAATAGATCTGAACTCTGCTCACTAAAGAACCCTTCCCCAAAAGTTGTCTGCTGAGACAGTTAACAATAATTGAATTGATACAACAAAAACCCAATAGCAACGTTCTTTCCCCTTATTACAGAGGCCAGGGTGTGTGAATGGAAATCTCCAGGTCTGCACCCAGTAACTTCTAGTATAAATGTTGAGTGGCTACATAGTAACTTATACTATAAATGTGAATGGCTACATAGTGACTTCTAGTATAAATGTGAATGGCTACATATATCCAACTCCCCTGAGAGCATTCGGAGCGCACAGTGGGCCGGAGAAAGAGTGTGTTGTGTGTGAGGCTTGACAGCCAGAGAGAACCATTTACTTACAGCTTTTGGTTTATATGGAGGCTGGATCTCCTTGCGTTCAAGTTTCTCCCAATCAATATACCGGAAAAATGCGTGCTCTTTGATGTCACGTTCGCCTTCAGGCCCACAACCCAGACGTTTGCCTGGGTGTTTGGTCATCAGCTTTAGGAGAAAGAAAGACACTGAGTTAAGTGAATTTCAGAGAAAGAAATGTGAGACACTGAGAAATTATTATTCCAGAAAGAGCACTGAAGAATTGTAAGTAATTCGACTTTTTTGCTTTTCATCTCAGGAATACTTTCCCTAGCCAGGCCTTTGTACGAGGGGACCTGCACTAGTGCCTGTTCTAGTCGCCCAAAAATGTGATATCTTACAGTAATCAAATCAAAGCCTAAATGTAGCTCTGAACTTCAAGCTAGAAATGTCACAAAATCCATTTTGGTTCAAAAAGGACTTCTATGCAATTATTGGTGTATCTAATGAGAAGAGTTTCAATATCTTTAAATTCCCCGCTCCCACGACAAGAAAAGTGACGTTTGACCAAAGCAAAAGATGCGTTCGTTCAGGTATTGTTTGCATTTCTAATAAAGCGCTTGTGAAGATGACAAAACAAAAGAAAAAAATATTAGTCAAATGGACCCAAGTTTCGAGTAATTACTTTCAGAAAGCTCATTAAACAGTCAAAACCTAGCCTGGCTCTTTTCCCTGTATCACACATTACACTAAACTCCGTTGAGATTTCTTTGGTGTTCTGTTTAAATTACTGAATTATCAAAACTCTCCATCTTTGGGTCTCTGAGCCAGTGCTAAATAACAAGATGAATAGATGCTCTGAGATGAAACCAGACAGGCTTCCTCTTATAAATGAATCCAAAGCAGCAGGAAAATATCTCTGATCTCAAGACTTCAGCAAGTGCAGTCAAGACAGAGGAGTTGATGGTTTTAAAAAAAGACTAATAAGAAAGCATCAAAAGAGAAAACAAAGCAATTGGACCACACAGGCCCAAGAGGCTTCGTGGAGTAGCTATGACTTTGCCCAGGACTGGCTGATTACAGGAAAGGAATGATCTTAGAAATGCTCCCCTATACTGTGGGACACTCAGCTTTGGCTGTTTCCTACTTACAAGATAATTTATGTTCATATTCATAAGCATATAATTTCCAAATACAATTCATCTTCCACAGGGAAAAATAATTAGGCTCTTAATGTTCTAAGCTACTTCTTTATTACTAGCATGATCTTGCCTGATTGTTACAATAACCCCAGAGGTGAGCCTGTTATTTTTCCCCGGTGAAATGACAAGGCAGTTGACAGCAGAGAGGTTAAACAACCTCAAGGACTCACAGAGCTAGTAAAGGATCGGATCCCCCTCTGCCTAGCTCTAAAACATAGGCTTTTAAGAGAAACAGAAGAGTGCTCCTGTTTCTTGTGGTTCTCCAGAGATATTTGTTGTCTGGCTTGGTCGGAAAAGGTTAATGGAGGGCAGGACTGATAATAATAATATCAATAATGGCTTCTAGGTATTGAGTATACTGTGTGTGTCCAACTTCTGTGAGGAAGTCTCACCAGCCCTTATTTATTTATTTTTTATTTATTAGTCTTTATAACAACACTGTGAGGCTTCAGCAATTATGTTCCCAATACTACAGAAACCGGGTTCAGAGAAGGAACGGTATTTGTCTAAGGTTCTGCAGGCAGGGAGCAGTGCTGGGTTTGGAACAGATCTGCCTGACCAGAATTCCCTGCAGACCAATCTCTGCTCGTTTCCATTCTAACCTGCAGCCAACATGGGCTCTTGTCTGCTTTAAGCTCGTTCCATGTGGACAAGGCAACCGGAGCAAAGTTTTGGCATTTTTTTACGGTAGGAAATAGGGGCTTTAACAAGATGGACATGTAAAGGACCTGCTTCCATGGGGAAGGTGATTGTTTTCAAAAGCCTAGCTCCTTTCTATGCAAGCAGGAGGATGCCAAGCTAAGAAATGCCACCGTAGAAACACCCAGCACTCATTTTGAGTCTCTGCCCAGTTCCTGCATTCGGCCCTGCTGTGTCTGAAGCCAGGCAGACAGCTGGATTTAATCACCGCTCTACTCTCTGATCACCTCCCAGATGCATTCCCTGGGGCTGCTGTTTAGGAGAAGGCTGCTATCTGTTTACTCAGGCATCACCTCTTCTTCAGAACATCAGCCCTGAAGAAAAAGCCCACACTGGACTTAACCCACTCAATTTAAAATGGTCCCCAAACCTAACAGCAAGAAGTCACCCCAGTTCATCCTGAAGGTTATGGGTCCTGAATTAATAGAAAACTGCTCTACCAGGGAAACTGCTAATTGGAGCTGAAGCTGAATGCAGCTGACCTGGAAAATTCTCTCTCCTCATGACCCACTTAGAACCCCTAGCTGTCCAGGCAGGGCAGGCTCGAGAAGGGGAAGACCTTGACCATGAACTGAGCACCTACTACGTGCCAGCACCATGCAAGAAGCGCCTCTCATGTTACCTCATTTAACGCTCTTTGGCACTCTGTTTAGTAAGCAGTTTTGCTCAATTTTCTAAGAGATAAAGAAACAGAAGCCAGAGATGGAAAGGAATTTGCTCAAGACCATGCACCTAAGAAGTGGAATGGGTGAGATCTGAAAAGGGTCTCTTGATCTTCAAAGTCGCCCCTCTTTAAAAATTCCTATCACAGAGGATGCAAACCCAAATGCCAAGAGGAGCGTGGCCTGTAACACAGAAGTGACAGCATCAGTAACAGTAAGAAGGCCCGACAGTTCCAGAGCACAATGCCAGCCTCTGGTCTACGAGATTTATAGGTATTAACTCATCAAAGAACCTTAGTGTGATGCTGTTATGGTCCTCAATCTGCAAATCAGGTCAAACAACCTCCCTCCCTGTGACCACACCACTAATAATGCCTGGACCTGGATTTGAACCCAGATGGCACTCGGCCAGATCGGGCTTTTTGCAAATTGGAGAGGGTATGTCCCATACAAAGGGGGCAGGGGGTTCCAGTTCAGCTGACTGATGCTTTGCAGAAACGACTGGCTGATGTGTCAAGATCTGATTTTTCAAGAGAAGCTGGAAAACGGAATGTTTATGGGAAACCTCCTGATCTTTAAATGTGGGGAACTATTAAGCAAACTAAAACTCAGTGTATGACCTCTTTCCACTACTCTGCCAATGAAATGTCTCTAAGGGTGCGCACAGGCCTTAGTCTGTGCCCTCTTTTATCTACAGGCTTTGTCTATTCTCTTAATGAACCCCTGGGTCTCTCCTCTGCTGCTCATTTTTCCTCTCCCTGCCTCTCACCCTCAAAGAGAGTATTTTCAGCCAATTCACTATATGATGCTAGGGTCTGAGACTAATTCCCATGTGGTTTCCCCAGGGATATTTGCATCTGAACCTGTGTAGCAGAAACACAAAGCTTGTGTGATTCGTGGAGAGTGGGAATTGGGTGGTGTGGCAAGGTGCTGCCATTTAGGCTGAGAGGTTGGCCCGGCTCTTCTAATCTGGCCAAGCCTCGGTCTGGGCGCCCTGATTGTTCCAGCTGCCCCTCACTTAATCCAGCTCCTATGGCTTCAGACTGGGGTGAAGGAGACCAAGCCAGGTAGGGTGTGGGAAATGTGCAAACACCCCAAGATCTAGGTCTGTCCCGACACGGAGACGGGAGCCCACTGTCAAGGAACAGCCGAGTGCTAGCCTGAGAACTTGCCTGCACCGCTGGTTGGCAGCAGAGCAAATCTTTCCCAAAGGCAGCCTCCTTGGGTGGTATTTTCTGAGAATCTCACAGTGTTGCTTTCACACTTCCATCAGAGTTGAAAGATTACTTCATTTGACGACACATTTAAAGGTAGTGGTTTTCAAGCCACAGAGGGACTCTCTCAAAATACTGCAAGGCTCAGACTTAATCTTTGGAGTGAGACTGAGGTCTATGCATTCTGCAAAAGTACTCCAGGTCACCTGACGGCTCCAAAGTGAGGACCACAGCTCTCTAGGGTCTCACATGGGTCGCCAAGAGCATACCTGGGTCCAGCACAAGATGCATGACAAATAATCCTTACCTGGAAACTTGTGCCTTCTTTCTTCACAAAGGCAATTTGCATATGCCGCAGGTGTGTGACTGAGCATACTTTATGTGCATATTGGGATTGAAGGAGGGGGAGAACAGGGGTTTGGGGACACTGAATTTGGGTCAGTTTATTAGAGAATATCTTAAAGTCAATACTGCCTGACATTTTCTTAGAACAGAAGTTACACACACCTAGCATTAACAAAACACATATGGCGCAGAGCAAGGTAGACAGTGTCCTGCCCCCTCACACGAGCTCCAGCTCTTAAGTGAAGTCTTGCTTCCCACCTCTCATTCATTAAGCATTCATTCCCTTGTGCTGGGCCAGGAGCTGGAGCCCAGCCAGCAGCAAGATGCAGCCGCAGGTGTACCTCTACCTTGCTTCTGTGCAGAGCGGAAAACAGCTCCCTTTCCTGTGGGAAGCGGTAGCTCCCCATCAGGGCTCTGATATTGGCAAGAACAGTGAAAGGCAGCGTTCTGACGCCGCTCCCCTCAACGGAGCATAAGCTACACTTTGGATGTGGCAGTTCTGGCCACCAGCCTGAAGGGCTACTCACCCCTTTGCAGATGGCTACGGCTTCCTTGGACATGGACTTTGGATAAGCCACATTGTGCTCCATGATGGACTGGAAAAGTTCATCTTCATCTTCTCCCTCGAATGGGGCCTGTGGGACAGAGGGCAGGGTGGGAGAAGGGTTCCTGCCTTGCCCTCCCCCAACCTGCCCCTAGCCTGCAGGGCTTCCTCCCTGGCCCAAAGCGAGGCTGCACGCCGTGTTTTCAAGAAGAGAAGAAAATACCCAACAAACTTGGATAACCCCAAGTGCAGGAAAGTCTTAGAAGTTCAGATTTATGAGCTGTTACCAAGTTATCAGATTCTAAGGAAGCCGTGTGGACTGGAGTAGAGGAGGACTGCTCTTACAGATCACTGGAGACTGAGTTACCTGCCCGGCCAACATTTCATACAGCAGGACTCCGAATGCCCACCAGTCTACAGACTTCCCATAGGGCTGGTACGCAATTATCTGGAAAGCAGAAAGCACCTGTTAGGAAGGCTCAGTTCATGCAGCTGGAGACCAAATTCACACTTCTCTTACCAGAGGGGTGGACCTTCACTGGGGCGGGTGGGGTGGGGACAGGTCTTGGCTGGCATGTCACCTGCCTACTGTGAGACACAGCGCCTGTCACAGTCCAGAGCAGGATCTCAAGGAAGGGACAGGAAGCCCACTGCCCACAGAGCTATTTCTCTACTTCGGCTACCCAGGGAATGACGGGCAGGCTTCACAGATAAACCTGCACCAGGCAACACCTGTGTGTGTCATGGTGCCTTTTCGAGCACTGACTATGGTATGGTGTGTATGTTTGTGTGTGTGTGCGTGTGTGTGTATTTGTGTATGTGTGAGTGCCATTTCAAAACCTATGTATGGGATTTTAAAGAAGAAAAGCTATTTCTGTTTCATTGTACATTTATATGATAATGTGAATCTACGTAACACTACTAAGCTGCATATTTAGAAATGATTAAGATGGTAAATTTCATGCCATGTGGTTTTTTAAAACCACAATTAAAAATAAAAACACTTTAAGAATAATAACATTTGTTACTATTTTACTATTTATTTAGAAAATACAGATAAGCTATGAGAATAAAATGAAAATCACCCATAAGCCTTTGTCAAGAGGAAATTATGGCTAATATTTGATTTACCTCCTTCTAGGCTCTTTTCTATGAATATATATTAAACTGCACGTACGTGTGATTTACATAAGCATAAACACTCTAGTAAGTGGACTTTTAATAAAGTGTGTGATTCACTTAAGTTTTCCTTGCTAACATTTGTACACTGACAAAATTGGTTTTTACCTCCGCATAGCATTCCACTGGAAGGATGTACCAAAATCTATCTTCTTAATTCCCAATTGATTAGGTTTGTTCTGATGCTACATTCATATTCTTGCAATTATACATGGACCTCTGTCCAATTATCTCCATTAGATAAGTTCCTAGGAGTAGAATTAGTGGACTAGATAGAACATGTGAGGGATCTGATGGGGAAGTCTAGTAGGTATACGGCTGTCCACCTTTCAGTATGTCTGGCCACCGAAACGTCTGTGTCTAAGGGATACAGAGATGACACAGCAAAGGTCGAAGGCTGAGGCTGTGGGTCAAACAGTCTAATTTTGATGGCTGTTTTTTATTTACCAGGTGCGTGACCTTGAGGGAAGCTATGTAACTACTCCTAGCCTGTTTCCTCTTCTACAAAATGAGATTCACCACAATATCTGTGTCACAGGGGTTTGAGAAGGATGAAGGATACACCAGGGACCGCTCACATATTATGTCCCCCAGTGTTAGCATTTTGAGAATGTTCTCTAACGCAGTGATTGCTTGTTTTTCTCAGTAAAGGTGCTGGAGCAAACCTGGCTGTAAAGTGAATGACTATTTCTCACACTCCATCTCCCACCCCTGCCTCTACTCTAAAATAAGAAATCCAGAGATGTTGTTGGAAGGATACATAATTTGAGTTAGATAAAAAGAATAAACCCGCCAAAATCTAAAGTACCGTACATGACTATAGTTTATAGCAATAATGGTATTCTTTTTAAAATTTTTGCAACACTGAGGATTGAACTCAGGGTTTCTACACTGAACTACATCCCCAGCCCTTTTTAGACAGGGTCTTGCTAAGTTGTCCAGATAAGACTTGAACTTGCGATCCTCCTGCCTCAGCCTCCCTGAGTGGTGCTGGGATCATAGGCATGCACTGGCACGCCCAGCTCTGAAGTGTTTTCTTAAAAATTGCTGGGTGTAGATTTTAATTATCTTCACCACAAATGTATCTCTGTTTCAAAATATTTTGTATATGAAAAGTATTTATATAATTTTTTGCTAAATAAAAATAAACAAGTAAATAAACAAATAAATAAAAAGCAGAGAAGTAAGTGCAAGACTCGAAAGCCTTCTGTAAGAACACTTCTCACTGAAGTGTTTTCACACTTTTAAGGTACTTCGCGACTTCGCGGCTCATGACAATCCAACAAGTTAATCCTCTTATGGAGGAAAATAGCGCCTGGGAGGAGAAAGGAGTTGCCAAAGGTGATGTGGCTAGTTAGTAGCAAAGCCTGCCCTGGCCTGTGTATGCTCTTTCTGATCTTGGGCAGGAGGAGGAGGCAGCTTGGGCACCAGGCATCAGGACTCACTGGGAATGACGCAATCCTGAAGACCCCAGCCCAGCCCCACGGTGCATTCTCACTCAGTAGCTCTAGGGTGCTGGCCAGCTGGGCTGCATTTGAAAAGCTCTCCCCAGGACTCTAATGTGCAGCTAGAGTTGACACCAGAGGTTATCAAACTCATGACATATCTGGGAATTGTGTGATAGCTCGCAGCTGATGTCCCAACGAACTAACCAAATGGTAACAGAGCAAAGGGTGCCACATAGGGAAAATTCTGCTGGGTCCTCATAATCAATTTGTAAAAAATAGATTACCTTGTTATTATTCAAGAGATACACACATTTGCCTTGTGGGAAATGTAAACAGTATTCCAGTGGGGTGAGATTTCCCTTTACCTGCACTTCTCCTCGGAGGCCACCAGTGTTACAGATCATTCTGCAAGCATGCAGGTGTTCTACGCCTTTGCACGCACATACGCACACTCATCAAAGACACCGCAGTGTCCTACATATTGCTGTTATTGCCCACAAATGGTATCACACTATATTTATCATTCTCTACCCAGATTTTTTTCTTTTTACAGTATGTTGTGGAGATATTTGTTATGTACATATGTATCTAACTCACTCTTTTGAACTGATGCCTAGATTTGTCCTGGATTTGTGTGTGTGTGTGTGTGTGTGTAGTACTGGGGAATGAACCAGGGCCTCACAGACACCACACAAGTATGCTGAGCTACATTCCCAGCCCTGTTATAAAAATGTTATTTTAAGACAAGGCCTTGCTAAGTCACCCAGGCCTGAAATCTTACTACCTCAGCCTCCTGAGTAACTGGGGATTACAGGTATGGGCCTCCACCCCCACCAAAGTAGTATTTTATACTATAAAGAAATTACAGTCGACTGCCCTCACCCCTATTGAGGGGTACTGTTTCACATTAATATACACAGGTGTACTCTAAGGGCTGTATAGGACTTTCTAATGTGAATGCAGCATATGTTAGCCAATTTTTCCTTTATTGATAGTCTTTGAGGTTGACTCCCATTTTTCGTTATTAGAAATAATGTTGGGATGAAGGAAGGGCTTTGAACACATATCCTTCTGCTCTTGTGTATATGTGTGTCTCTGTGTGCTGACGTGCGTGCGTGCGTGCGTGTGTGTGTGTGTGTGTGTCTGTGTGTGTGTGTGTGTGTGTGTGCTGGGGGTTGTTTGTAAACTAGCCAGGCTCCTGGGAAAGGGACCGTCTGGGAACAAGAGCACAGGGGCTTTAAACTTTATGCCAAGTTATTTAAGCAGGGATTCACATCCCCTTGTTACATATCAAGTGACTGACAGGCGTTTTAGAATGTTTTTTCCAAGATTCTGTGACGGGGCCTCAGTTCTATGCCGGTTTTCCAAGCATCAATTCAGATAAAAAGCAACACAATAGCCTGGCACAAATTATTGTCCTGTGTCATGTTGGAGAAAAAAAATCTCTTCACTGACCGCATCCTCTGGGAAGAGCAGGAAGGCTCTACAAACAAATGTTAGGCTTTCATTTGCATCTTTAGCACAGGAAGAAAAATCTGGAGTCTCCCAGGATTTATCAAAATGACCACACACAAAGTACACAGACCTGTGTCATACGTCAGCCAGAGAATCTGCCCTCTCTGTCTCCCTTTCTCTTTCTCTCTCAACATACATTCCAACGTCATAATTAGGAGGTCTCATATGGTCACGAGCCACAGCAGCCCGAGGAAGAATTTTACTGATGTGTGTTGGATGGTTCTTTTGAGTTTTATTTAAATTTTCTCCCAAACCTCGAGGTATTTTAGGCCTGAGCTTCTGGATGTATGCTATGTCAATTTGCATAAGTAATCTCAAAGGAACGATTCAGAGTACAGGATAAGGACCAGCCTGGGGTTCTATGCCAGGTACTGTCTTCACCCTTTCCGGCCTCACACAGCCATCTGGGGTGGAGGGACACAGTGTCATGGGTGGCTATGTGTGAGGCATCCCAGCAGCGCTCACCTCAGGGGCAATGTAGTCTGGAGTGCCACAGAATGTCTTGGTGGTCACCCCATCCCAGATGTTCTCCTTACACATGCCAAAGTCAGCGATCTTGATGTGGCCCTCAGAGTCCAGCATCACATTGTCAAGTTTTAGGTCCCTGCACCAGCAGACATAAGAATATAGGGATTTATTTAAATATTATTTATTTCAACCCAACCATTCATTACTCATTATATACAAAACATTCTGCTAGGTGTTGTTGGGTCACAAAGGTAGCTTTAAACCCGCCCTGTCCTCTGGCAGTTTCCAGTCTGGCAGAGAGATGAGCGAGTCCTCTAAACCTCTGTGTTTTTCTTTTTCTACTGAGTCTACTGTGCTCAGGGTCTCATGAGGACACAGTGAAAAGGGAACTCCAAGAAAAGAGAAAGATTCACAGAAAGTTAAACAAAGGCCACAGCATCCAAAGAGGCTTCTTATATCCAGGAGAATTCCAAGAGTCGGACATTGTAATTTATGGACCCCTTACATGTTGTACGAAGATACGATTTTCACAAAATTAGCTTTAAAGTACCTCTGAAAATCATGGTTAGAAAAAAATGATGGAGAGAAACTTATTTAACTCCGAGCGCTTCGGGTGTTTCGAGGCCACTTCCTGGGACATGATCCAAGAGCTTTCATTGATTCTCTTAGGCAATATCAGTCGAGCTTTAACTAAAGGATGTGTGCTACAATCTCATTCTGTTATTTCCATTTGTGTTGATGAGGAGAGCTTGATGTTTTGGGGGAACACGTGCCTGTCTCCAGTATATAAGATGACCTTAATATCAATAGTTTCCTTATAAACACATTTTCCAATGTTAACTCTTTGTGCTCCAGCACCAGTGAGCAGGTATAACCTGTGGGTCACACCGTCTCAGCCCCAACAGAAGACAAAGAAGCTTAATTTCCTGAGTGCTCTTCCCTAGAGGTTCTTGGCTGGGTTGTGGATGTCTGTGGTTTCTGCTTATTTAAGCATCTTGGGATGAGTCTATCCTCTCCTGATTCTTGAACCATGTAACCTAGAGGTTCTGGCCCTAACTTCTGGCCCCAGGAGTGGGCATGAGCCTTTTTGGCCAGTGGAAATACCACATCTTGCTGACCATAGATGGGTTCAGGAATAGACATATGACCTGATCTGTAGCTATCAAAACTCTGGCAATTTTGCAGGAAAGAAGTTCTTTTTACATTGGGACTGGATGGAATATAAGCCTAAAAGCTCCAGGGGTCACTTGATGGAGAGAATAGGGCGGTAAAGATAAGCAGAGCTGGAAGGGAGGTGATAAAGCAACTCATAGCATCATTTGAACTCCTGCATCTATCCAGGTTGAAGTTCAGATTTTGCTTGGACATTCCTGTTATGGTGGCTGATCAACGCCTCTTTCAGCATAGTTTGAACTGAGTTGCTATCATCACTTCCAACTAAAAGGACACAGCCTGAAAATATATCCCTGCATCTCTTATCTGTATCTGCAAAGTCTCTCCATCCAAGGGGAGGTCCTTCTGCACTCACTGCCAACAGCAGCATTTCCTTTCACCGTCTGTCCATGTTGCCACTGCTGTCCATGGTACCATCCATGGCCAGCCTTTATGCTTATCTGCAAGCCATGCTAGATTCCAAATGCCATGCTGGACCTTAGAAATGCTAGACTTACAGCAACTTCCTTCAACTGAACATACTAGTTCTACATATTATTTCATTAATAATAACACATGATGTCCTCTCAGCTTGACCATGTGCCCAGAAACAGGCAGCAGGGTCAACTAGAGAAACGATGTCTTCATGAAAAGTTTCAGGAGGCAAAAGCCAGCAGGTCCTGCAGGGAGCGGGGTGAGAGGTACCCCAGTCATATTCACTGACACAAACAGAGCTTTGATATTGCACTGCACCCTTTTGTTCCCTGTAACAAATCCTCATTTCCGATTCAAAAGGAGGCTGGAGCAATTGTCTTCATTTTTGAGAAATTCATTAAGGGTAAAATCAACACATAATCCAGAGGAAATGATCAACAAGTCAGACACTAAGTTTGACAAGAAGAACCCTCCCCCATACCCAGTGATGTTCCTCAGGAAGAGAATCTCTAGCATAATTCCTCATTCTCTTTCCTTAAGAACTGTCCAATTAAGTAGAAAGCTAAATGAAGAAGAGAGTGATGTGTAACATTTTAAAAGACTTTACCACCGCTGAGACAATCCTTACAAAATTCTAAAGCTGTATATCTTTTGTCGTGTAACTTTTTATAGCTTTCATTTGATTATCAATTTCAAGAATTCTGTCTCAATTGAGTTAGTTGATGGTGAACAGCAAAAACCAACTCTCATGACTTTGATCTGAAAAGGAATCTATAAAAAGATATTGAGGCACTCATAAAATCTCCAAGGAAGCTGGAGAAACATCACCCTTCATTCCATGAAGCGCGAATGCTGGACTCTGCATGTTGCTGCCAAGAACTCCATCTCCTCTTGCCTCTGGAAACCAGCTGTGGCTGATTACTATGGTCATGCTCAATTCTGTGGTCACAGCTCTTGGGCCACTAGTTTCTGACCTACTGGGAGTCTGAGCTGGGTCATACCCTTGCTAGAGGGAGGCTAGAAAATAAGCACCTGGCATTTCTCATCTTTATAGTAGGAAATGGACTCTTTTCTTACACACAAAGGAAAAGGATTCTGATGTTGATTGGCTTGAAATAATCACATGTATACCTTTAAAATCATATTAATAATGGAGGGCAAAAGGGGGAATGTGTGGTTAGGTTGGGAGAAAGAGTTTGGAATTACATATGGTTTTAGGACTTAAAATCATAATTTTAGGGCTTTAGTATCTAACTGATCCATCCTGTGGTCACAGTTATGACCTGCATTTATGTACATCAGATCCCAATCTAGCTTCCTGTGAGACTGGAAACCAGCCCTAAATCTCACCTCAGCTGACAAGAACTCTATTTATTTCATCTCCAGGGTTCTACCCTATGGCTAGATTTTCTTCTGATATAGTTGGAGTTCCATATTTAATCTTCTGAAGAACCTGATTGGTTCTTTTCATTTAGAGGAACATTTTACATAACAGTTAGGACCAGAAATACAAGAAACAGAGGAAAACCATGACACCTGACTTTTGATTTTGATTTTTGCTGTTTACCATCAAGTAACAAGACCACCAATACATTCAGCACAAGAGGATCTCACTTTGAGGGTGGAAAGGGAAACTGAGGAATCTGAGGACCTACATATCCTATCTCATGCTCACATGGTGGTACATGTTCATTGAAGCAAGCATGGACAGACGACTGTTATTATTTCAAATTTGAATTATTGTCCTTCACTGGGATCACCTATGAGCCAGGCAAAACTACTTTTCCTGACCTTCACCCCTCCATTATCAAGAGACCACAGGGATAACAGGGACCCTACGTGCACAGAATAATATTAGCCCCCAGTGGATTTCATAGCCCACTTCCAGGAGTGAATAGAACCCCAGGACTCTGGAGGCATCTTCCAAGGCCCCCACCTTCTGTCCCTCCACCCCACCAGCACCCCTAGCCTTTACCTCCACTGTCTGCCCAGGAAGTGCCTGAGCCAATCCTTCGTGTCTTTTGGTCCCACAGCCTTCACTTGCAGCAAGAGGCCCAGGACTCCCAGGTTACCTCTGGCTCTCCAGACCCTAAGTGCCATGCTCTCTACAGACTGAGAGGCAACCGTCCGCCACCCAGCACACAGCAGCTCCTTTCCTTGCTTGACTTTTCTCCTGGGCACTATACAACCACTTGACAGATCATATTTTTAGGGTTAACTAACTTATTAGTCTCCCACCAGGAGAAAATAAGTTCCACAGGGGTAAGAAATATCTCCTTTCTTTCCTGCTCTATTTCCTCTAACCACAGTAGTGCCTAGCACATAGTAGGCTTTTGATAAATATTTGTCAATTGAATTAATGAAATAGATTTTCATGGCTCTTCAAGATCTTTTAAATAGACCCTCATCCATGCCAAGTACCATGAGGAAGCCCCATGCCCCTGCCAGCCCCTCTGGTATAACAAACTGCCAAGGCCTGCTGCCCGCACCATTTGCATGCATGTTGCACATGGAGAATTGTATGCCTTGGACTTGCTGACAAACGGCAGTCTTGGGCTCAGTCATCTTGTTCAGCCTTGTATAAAATATAAAATGGTATGACTCATACAGCTATGATCATACACGTGCTCCTTCAAAAACTGGCAAATGCCAAGTTCTGAGCTTAATCTCGTCTTTCAGGGCAAGCTACTCGGAGATCCATCTCCAAACTGTAGTTACACGCAAAAAATTTTTTTTCTTTCATAATAATACGATCTACCACATTTGTCCAGCCAAGATTCTTTGCTTGCTTTTTAAATGTGGGGTCCACAGGCAAGAGAACGAAGTACGGAGGCCCTGTTGGTGAGACTCTGCTTACAGCAAGTGGCCCCTGTTTGAGGCCCCGAGCCATCTTTGGTAACACCAACTATCACAGCCAATCAAGATTCTCCTGTCACCGTACAGAGCTCCCCACACTTTGCCAGGGCAGTGGGCGATGCTGCCTGGCAGAACACATGCCCAAGTTAGTGCTGGAGGATTCCTCCCCCACCATAGATTCTAATTTTAAAAGCAGTTGAAGAAAGAGGCAGGGAAGGCAGGGGCTGAGGGAGAGCAGGAGATGGGAAGTATAGCAGTGTTTACTCACCGGTAAATGATGCCCTTGCTCTGCAAGAAGAACAGACCGATGGCAATTTCTGCAGCGTAAAATCTGGAATTGAAAGAAAAGATGGAGAAATTCAAGGACACCATATGCTTGGCAATGCTCAGAATTCAATATAATATTGAACTAGGTGCAAGGCATTAAAGTCTCACCATGAATGGCAATTACATCTCATGAAAAGCTGAGAATATGGATGGACGAGCAAGGTGATTGAAGGAGCCACGAGGCTGCCTTGCGTACAAACTGGATGCAAAGGTTCAGCAATTTCCTAGCAGGGAGGATGCCTTGGGTTGCAGTGGACTGGGTGGGAGAATAACTTCAGACTCTCACAAGTTTCAGTATTAATAACAGTTAACATCTGTTGAAGGCTTACCATCTTCCTCGCACTGTTGTAAGCATCATTTGGTTTATTTCTAATTAGAATCCTACCAGTCCTACTAGTACTGGCCTGATCTTTAAATGAGGAACCTGAGGCTTAGAGAAATTGACTCTAGGATGAGCTTGACCAAGATAGGTGCGAACGAATGACACAGCCAAGACCAGAAACGGCACGTGTTGAGTTCATGTAACCGAGACACGTGAATTGTCACTCAGAAGAAAAGGGGATGTGAGAAAAATAGAAAGCCCAGCAAGGGTTGACCAGGGCTTTGGGGAACTATGTTAAATTCTGATGCTATGTCTCATGTGATAATGGATTTAAAACTGTGGCCAGTTTGATTTCATAAATAAAAGGAGAGCCAGCTCTAAGGTCTCATTAGAGTTGGGCCAAGAGACACAAGTGGCTGGCTCGGGAGGCATCAGAATGACGTGAACCCTACCAGAACACAGGGCTCACGGCCTTGGCACAAGGGAGGAGAGGGAACAGGATGGATGTAACAGGAGCCGGAAAGCCTTTGGGATGGTGGAGTGGGGTTCTAGACAAGCCCTGGGGACTTTCCAGGGGGCAGCAGGATCTCAGCAACTCCCCAGGAAAGGGTATAGATACTGTTTCCCATGACTTGCCATGTTCACCCACAGGGTTCTAAGTGGGAAAGGAACATGATGAGATTTTTGTCCTAAAGATAAAAGACTGGGGCTGGCTTGTGGACTGAGAGGAACAAAATGGACCAGCAGGAGAAACACATTTCCAAAACCCTAGAACTAGTTACCCCATTCCAGGAACCACAGAATACTGCCGCTATTCGACTGGATCCTTCCCCCATCTTCCCGGAGTGAAGACATCTAAGAGGCAGAGTGGTGTAGGAGGGTGAAGATGGACGAAAAGTGGGGTTCAGAATTCTGGAACATCTTCACACCAACTTTGGGATCCTGTGCAAGTCCCCAAACCCTCCGAGTCTCAGTCTCATTGTTGTAAAACAGAGGTGATAATCTACTTGCTAGTTTTACTTTTGGAACTAAATGAAACCATGTTTATTGAGCACCTAGGGCCTGGAACAGAGTAAGCTCTTAATAAACATTAGCAAATGAACAAACAAACCCTACAGTGACATTCCCCAGGGAAGCTATAAGACCTCCCCCAGGAACCAGAGGCAAAAAGAGATAAAGAAGTAGCGGTGGATCTAGGATGTAATGTTCTTAGCAGAATGAGGGCATGGGCGAGCATCTCAAGCAGAACACTTTTCTCCTTGGCCAAACATTTCTCACAAAGAAGCCTCAGAAATTTAAAAATCCATCTTTGGCTAGTACCCCAAAGGGACTAACAACCCATTTACCCCAAGGAAAAAGTACGAGGAAGAGGAAGTTCTCCCTTACACAGCATGGGGCTCCTTGAACCGGCCAACCTGCTGGATGTGGTACATGAGGTCGCCCCCGTTCACATACTCCATCACGAAGTACAAGCGGTCCTGGGGAAGGAAAGCAAAGGGCAGAGTCAGCATCCTGCGACTGCTCAGCTTCCATGGGGAGGGCAGCAAACAGCTGAGATTTCTATCAAGCCTCCCAGGACTCTGACAAATCCCGGCATGTGGGGCCCAGCAGCTCCTCAAGGGTAAAATCTGCACCCCTCAAAGATGCAAACAAGCAAGGTTGGACACAAATCATGGTTTCATTAATAACTGCAAGTTTAAATTAATTTGTCCTGGAAAATATAATTTCCACGTTAATCTCATGATTTAACTGGTATTATTGTTTAGGATAACGTTAATTGTAGCAAAAAGTGGAAAATAGTAAGTAAATAATATTATGGTCAATAAGTAGCTATGGCAAAAGCCTCCACGTTGGTCCTCCAGTGATTTTTCACTTCCTAGTGGTCATGTTCTGGTATTGGACCTTCGTACAAGGAATAGGACTGACTTGTATAGCCAACAGGACACATGACTTCTGAGACCTGGTCATAAAAGACCTTACAGCCTCTGCTCTGCTATTTCTGGGGTCACTCTTCCTGGGGGAAACGCAGCCACTATGCCATGAAGACACTTAGGTGCTATGGAAAAGTACATTTGGCAAAGCACTGAGGCCTCCTGCCAACAGTCAGCACCATTCCGTACTCATGTAAGCGAGTCACCTTGGAAACAGGTTATTCTGCCCGGGGGAAGCCTCAGTTGTCCCAGCCAACCATTTGACTGGAACTTCATCCTAAACCCAAAGACAGAGTCCCTGGAGGTGAGGCCCTGCTGTTTTAAGCCCCTGAGTTTCGAGGTACTCAGCAATAGATAGCTAACACAGTGCCCATCGAAAGCAAAACAAAACAAGAATTATCAAAGTTTGAAAAGCAGTAGTCTAGAAAGACATATTCAGAAATTTTAAAAATTGGAGACAGAAAAGGAAATCTGTACCCCCTTAGGAACTTTTTCTCATACATCTTTGAAGGGATAGCGTGAACTTCTTTGACAAGGGCCATGCCCTCTTTGGCTGAAAAACAAGCCTGCTCCTGCTTCTAATCCAGAGCAGGTGCCCAGAGGGCGAAAGAGAACAGGCTGAGTGTCAAAAAGATGACACAGATACCTGGGTCTACCTCCTGAGAGCTGGGAACATGTGGCACAGTCATTTAATATGTGGCTGTGCTCATCTGGAAGTGGAGATAGTAGCAACTCCAGAGTTTTTGTTGGGATCAATGAGACAGACAGCTGTCACACTCTTTGAGTGCCACCTACCTGTGATTTGCTTTCCCTCCTTCCAGGAAGGGGGCTTGTTAAATGAACAAATGATCTCATCTCTTCTTAGAGACTTCTGCTTGGGGTAAACCACTCCTTTATGCGACTTTCCTTCGGCTCAAAATGGCAGGGTCTGCACTATTTGCAGTGAGCTGAAGTCCCCCTCATGTTCTTAGACTAAAAAAAATCATTTTCTTTAACCCACCTAATCTAAATTAGGTCTGCTTGTCATGTTCTTTCATGAACCTCATGGGTTATTTTTTCCCCTCTGATCACATCATAACTTGTAATTATATATTTAACTGGATGGTTGCAGATTTCATCTACTTATTCACTCTTTAATTAAATAAAAATATTTGTAAAGTCCTACTGGGCACCAGGTTATATAGGTGCTAGGGAAACAGTGAACAAAATCAACAAAAATTCCTTGCCTTTATCTTTCATTTTGGTTCAAGTAATAGGGATCAAGATAACATTAGACATAATAAATACATTATTTATTATAAGGTACTAAGTGCTATGGGAAATCTGACACCCCAGATTAAGGGGGACTAGGAATGCCAGCTGATGAGATGGAAGAAAAGACTTCCAATTTCAATGAAGTATTCAGGGTATCACTTATTGAGAAGAGCATGCCTCAGCCAATATTTGAAGGAGGTGATGGAAGCAGCTATGAATATATCTAGGAAAAGAACTTACCAGGTGGCAGAAACAGCATGTGCAAAGGCCCTGAGGCCACAGCACACCTGATGCTCATTAGGACCCACAGGGAACCAGCATAATTGGAGAAGAGAGAAGAAAGGAGACATAGTGACAGAGAAGGCCAGAGAGGTGTGGGGAACTCAGATCATGTCAAAGTTCATGGGCTAAAAACTGTGGCTTTTACTCTGCAAGAAATTGTCTAATGCCAGATACGAATGGAGGCTCCACAGCCAGTGACCATGTCAAATCTATTTACCTCTCTACCCAGAACCCAGCACTGTACCTGGCTAAAGTACCTCAATGCGCAATAACCGAACAAATGGATGAGTGATTCGAGGCACCAGGAGTGCATGGGTTCCTAAACACCTGCAACATGGTGCGGAGTTAGTCTGGAAGCCTCCCCCCCACAGTTTGTAGCAGCATGGGCCTAGGAGGACCACTTTGCATCCCAGGTTTGATATCTTTCCTCATAAGATGAAGACCACACAATCAACCTTCTCCAGCACAGTAGCCGAGGGAGGGGCTCCCGTGAAAGGCACCCAGCGCTACCATCTGTAGGTGTGAGCAGGCCAGGTCGTCCTGGGGCCACCGCCTGGTCACCTAAGCCAGTGCTTTCCAAATTCAAATTGATCTCACTCTAACCGATCCTCTGATTAACCCGGTGGATCGTAATCAACTTTAAAAGAAGAGAAAGAACAGGGTGCCACTAAGTATAATTCTGGGCAATGTGGGCTTGAGTTATATTTGTGTGTTTGCTTGGTTAGTTCTCAATATAAAAGGGGGTTTGCTGTCAAAAGCTGCAAAGTATTATGAGGGGCTATAAAGGAGGGGAACACGTGGGGGTGAGGTGTATGGCAAAGGCTCGACCTTTAGCGTCAATATAGGATTTGAAATCTTATTCCACTGCATACTCCCTGTGCAGGCTGAGCAATTACCTAACCTCTCTAATCTCTAGCCTCCTCTTCACCTGCTCCATCGTGTAATAAACAAAAAATATTCAACATGTGGTTGGCCATTTAATTCACCTCTTTAAAAATCTTCTGCCAGCCGTGGTGGGCACGCCTATAATTCCAGCACTGGAGAAGCTGAGGCAGGAGGATTGCCATGAGTTCAAGGACAGCCTGGGCTACACAGTCAGATCTTGTTTTAAAAAATTTTCCTTCCATTGCATAGAAGTTTATCTTGTATATAGCAGGTGCATGTGCATTTTTCCAGTGTATACTGAGTGCCTAATAGAATAATCACAGTAGTAAAATAAAGCTACCAAATTTGGGGCTCTTGATACATAGCCAAGCTAAGGGGTTTATATAGTGTGTCTTACTCATGTCTCTAAACAGCCTGACATGACAAGGAGTACCATCATTCCCTTCATTCTAAGATGTGAAGTTTGAAGCCCAGAGAGGGTAAAGAACTTGTCATGGTAAAGTGTACAGCCAGGATTTGAATCCAGGCAGTTTGGTTCCAAAGTCTATGCTGGCCACCTCTTCTTATGCTGGCCACCTCTTCTTATGCTGCTTCCGCTGAGTATGTGTTGCATGTAAGATTCTGAGCTAGACCTCCATCATGTGTATGGATGGGTGTGTGGATGTGTCCTCAAGTTAGAGCCTCCAGTCCAGAAGGAGACAGGAGGAATGCAGAGGTCTGTCCATGCAGCAAGCCAGAGATAGCAGGGTATAAGGAAGGAACACAAGGTAAACATTTTTTTAAAAAAATAACTTTTCTTTCTCAGACCAACACTATTCCACCCTCTTAACATCCGAAAGAGAGGCACAGAGGGGAGTGGAGTGATTGCTTCTGTCCTCAGAACCCAAGGGCTATGAGATTTGCACAAAGGTCACATAAAATTTGGTGGCAGAATGCAGACGGTAAGCCAGAGCTGCCGACATCCAGCCCTGGTTCTTTAGGGGGATTTTGATAGAAAACAAGCCTAAAATTAGCATCTGTCTCTGCTGCACATTGAAGAGAACCAAAACACTCGCTTTTAAAAATTATTTTTAAAACTAGCAGATGGCATCGGCCACCGAGAGAAGTGAGGGAGAGATTTCATTTGCTTGATTTCTGCCTGGATGAACACAACTTGCCCCCCAAGCTCACTAGCAGAATCCCAGCCCTGGGGACAGCTGCAGTGCGGGTGCACTTTGTGGTCCATTTCCACCAATAACCATGTGTAGGGAAGCCCCGAGATGCAGCACCCTGCACTGTCCTGAGGCTGGCATTGGCCCAGCAGTTCTGCAGCTATGAAGTGCCATGGCTGGCATCTCAGCGTCTTCAATCTGAGCACCTAATGACACCTGGTCTGTGCCAGGCTCTACTGCTCTGCCAGAGATGCTGCTGAGAATACTCCACGGTGTGCCACGCTGAGGATCCCCCAGACAAGCAGGGGGTCCAGATACACTTCCAAAAGGCACTGTTTCCCCAAATGGGAAGGAGATAATTCTAGGTAGTCCATGCATGGATGTGGTATTACCTTTATAACTGTGTTTGTCTTAATGCCTGGTGTGGAAAGCATAACTAAGCATGTTAAGCTCCTGATTGTATGTCTATTATTGCTGAAAAGGGAGAATAAAATACTTGGAACCAAATAAGGGGTGGAGTCAAGTTTGGGTGGGACAAGATGACATCTAAATATGAAAGATAAAGGAGAAAATAAAATTTCAGTCATATCCCAATCAGCTTCAAGATCTCAATCAGGTTTGTCTAATTTAAAATAGCTTCAGAAATTGATTTTTTATTTTTAGACAATTACTTTAAAAATCTAAAACATTGTAATAAAGTCATAAATGGAAATTCACTGTCTCTGTGAAAAATAAACTTGTGTCTGGAATATATCATCTGTATGCTATTTCCAGCCTGGCTTTGGAAATCAATCCCTTAAATGGCTTACTTAAAAAAAAATGTCATTTGTCCATGTGCTACCAAGTTCATCTCTTCCTCCATGGTGAAGAACATCAAAGTCTGGGGAACACTGCCAAAGCCAATCCAGAGCTGGTCTAGAGTGGAGTGTGAGTTCTAGAACTTTCATTGAGGATTTATTTTTGGAAGTCATGGTA